GTGTCCGGTCGTTCATCAAGATCATTTCTTTAAAAAAAAATCCACCAGAATTTTTTTATTTTCAACTTAATTTTCTTGTGAATTTCTGAGCAGTTTGAAGGGTTTCCCCTGGAAACGGTACGAGTAGGTGGAAGGTACTTTTTTCAGATTTCAGTCACAGCGCGAGGCCGTGCTTCCTAAAAATAAACTTTCTGTTTTATCTATCAGTGATGAAAACGACTCTACAGCACAGGGCTGGAGATTATTACTCTTACTCTGGACTTGGCCTGACTCAGAGGGAATTTTTTCAAACTGTAGTCGAAGCTCTTCCTGGAAATTCAACATAAAAATGTAGAACCTGGTCTTCAGCGTTGGATAAATTCTAGTTTCTTTCTGTAATATGATTGTAGTCTGAGCTGTACTCTTCAGTTGCGTATTATGTATGCAGGAAAAACAGTCAGTACCTGCAGCAGTAACACCCTGACTCACTTCTGCAGAAATTCAACTGCATATGATCACAGATCTGCAGGCAAAAGCAGCAAAAATTTGAACTAATCAATTAGATCTTTGACGGATGTGGTTTCTATGTTGACTTTTAACAAATCTGAGTTATGATGTCGAGTTTGGGCAAATAAATACCTGTTAGTTGACACTAAATCACAAGGAAACTAAATGACTTTTTCTGAAGTGAGCAGAGTGATCTTCAGTGTATTTTACTTTTTACAGAAGAAACAAGATACTGTATCTGGGCACTAATCCAAGCATGTAATTCATGTTGCAGACATTAATGATTCAAAGTAAATAAACCCAGGCTGTATGTCATTAACTCTGTCTCTACACAGGAATTACATAGAAATTTGTATTTGCTTTCAGAGGCAATAATAGAATTAAAATCCAGTATTTAAACATCCGTGTCGCTCAGTCCAACAAATTAGCGCAGAGGTAAAATGTGCCTCATAACTGAGGATTGATTTCACATGTCATGAGGGATCTGGTTGTCTCTTTTCTTGTATAGCACAGCTAACTTATAAACATTGTCACAGGGTTTCGACCAATCAGAACAGCTGGGTCAATAATAAGAAAGCAGGAAAATAAACAACAACGTTCCCCAACCTCTAAATGATCTTAACAGACCCTCCCAGGTCTGTGACATACACTAAAACAGTGTTCGAACCGTACTTTTAACCCCCTCACCTTGCTTTAATATTAGCATTTTAGATGGGAGTCAATGTGGGAGTCAAAAAGTCTTGATGCAAAAAAACTAAATATAGTTTCACCTCCTCAGCCCCATGAAAGCAAGTACGAGTGTGAGAAAACACGGCTGCTAATTCCTCTCTCTTCTGTGAGGAAAAACACCAAGCTAAGAAGTTTACACTCCTGTGATCAAGCGAGAATGACTTTACAGGTTTTAAAGTGTCGTCTTGAACAAAAGTGTGAAACAGTGAGAATGCTTGTCTAGCTCCAGCATGTTTGCAGTTAGCTAGTTCACACAAAAGCAATCCTCCACACCTTCATCAAAAAACGAGGTATGAGTGGAAACAAACCAGAGTTATCCTTGGGTGTTGTAAGTGAAAACCGTTACTGGCAAAAAAATCCACGGCGAGCACTGATTCAGTGTTTTGCTCGAAAAGTACTTTAGGTGGGTAGAAGTTTTGTGATGCATGAACTCGAAAACTTACATCATATCCTACATCATCCTGCGGCCACAAACCTCTCGCCGGATGAGCGTTCATCTACCTGGTTTCCCTTCTTCAGTCACTTCAAACCATTTTTAAACGCATGAGTGGTTGTTGAGGGACGGCCCCTACGCCAGAAACAGCAGCTCATGGAACTGAAAGCCTCGGATTAGCTGACATCAGTGTAACTTTGTGTTTTTTTTTGTTTTTTTCTTTGACTTTCAAAAAGAGTTAAACAAGCAGATCTGAAGGTGAGATTCCACTTGAGATTAAAAACCGAACCCATGTATCAAAAAAGGGAGAGAGGAGTATTGTCTTTTTGTCTTTGCTGAAACCCTGCAGAGAGAACATCCTCACCTCATGCAGCCCTCTGCTCGTGTGTGTGAGAGTGTGTGTGTCCTTTTTTTATTGTTTTTTTGTTGGGCGGTCTGGGCGGTCGTGACATCAAACGGTTTTCAAAGTCAGATCTTGAGGAAGACCGAGGGGAACCCCAGGTGAGAAGTCCGAGTCTTTGTACAGAGAGGAGACTCCTCCTCCCGTCTCCTGTATATACATCAGTGTACAAGCACAAGGGACACACAGCAACATGAGGCATGTCGTGTGTTTACATTTGCAAAAATATATCTCCATATTTTTTTGCCTTACAGATCGACAATATAAATATTAAATAATCGAGGAAAATATATATGGGAACTGAAAACAGATACGTTTTTATAGGCTATGCTAAATTAAAGTGCTAAGATACTTTGTTCATTTTTTTAACAGGCTGCAAGCAAAAAAGGTTTTATCTGAAAAACAGTTTTCTCCACTCATGAGAAGATGTTTCACCGTCAGGGTTGGTGCCCCGCCCTGCAGGGCATCGTCGTGACTCAGCTCCAGGTCCTTCATAACTTCCTGTCACATTCATGTTCCTCGGCTCACTGTCGGTTTTTTATAAAATGAAATCAGACGCTGGAATGTTTGAATCTTTCTCCGTACGCTCTTATTTTAAGAGACTTAAGAGCGACCTGGCATCAAACCTGATCGACAGACAATCAGTCTGAGTTTCAGTCTCTCCTTGAAGCTCCTGTGAGGAAGTTTGTTTATGCTGACTCTGGTGACAAAAGGAGGTGATTAATGTCTCAGTGATCTTATTCTGAACGAGTGTAGGTGGGTGTTCCTGCAGAAATGTCTTATCCTTAGTCAGGACGACTTTGGCCAAAAAAACAAAGAATTTTTGTGCAATAAGTTAAATTTTGAGAGCTCCGAATGTTCTTCTGCTGAGGCAGGAAGAGCACACCTCTTCATGCTTTTATCTGCTTATGTGAGGAGCGAAACCCTCTGGCTTCCATGTAAATACATTAAAAGCCGAGGCGAGGAGAGCACATGTCCTCTTCATTTCATGTTTACAGAGAACATAAGAAGCCAAGGCGGGGAGAGAAGCAGCGAAGACCATCAGAGACAGAACAGAGCAGACATGAGTGACGAAACATATCAGGGCTGGACGATTATGGAAAACATAATAATCACGATTATTTTGACTGATATTGAAATCACGATTAATAAACACGATTATTCACCAAAATTTAACTTTGAATTTAACTTAAAAGAGCAGCCAGAAATAAATTAGTAACAAGTTAAAAAAGTAAAAAATAATCAGCTCTGTGATCGCCAATGATAACTTGCTAATGCTAATATTCGGCGCGTGTGTGCTCCGCGGTGCAGAGCCCATGTGCGCGCGCATACACCAATACATATGAGTCCGAGTTAGAGTCATGGAAATAGAAATTTGTTAATGTGTGCCAGCTTTGATTTAGCCGTTGCGAGGTGCTATGATCAATTGCATAAAGGGAAAACCCCAAAGTTGGTTGGGGAGCAGAGACGACTGCGTGACAGACTTCGCAAACAGTTTCCTTTTGCTTGACCGCCGTCCCCACTAAGTAATAGACATCTATTACACGTCTAGTTTTTTTTTTTAGACCTAATTTCAACCGTCTAGATTCTGTTGATTTTTAGATGGAATTTAGATTTTGCACTTTAACCCATTAGTCAATAACTATTTACTACAAAAAGCAACTGTGAGTTTCATAACTGATGTCCAAGTACTAAACCAAAGTAATTATGAAAGCTGTTGAGTAATATACAGTTAGACGTCTGTTCTAGTCTAACTTGGTCTAAATTTAAATGTCTAAAAAACGTTCATTTTTAAAATTATGGTAGCTTGATTTTAGACCAGTCGTCTAGGTTACATTTAGACGTCTATTAGACCTCTTTTAGACCTAAAAATGCTCAGTGGGTTCTACCTTTCTTCTCAACCAAACGCTGCCTCTCTACCTTGTTTTCAATCGCTCACTCCGCTCACTGCAGCTGCTCGTAACAGGGATGCATTCAAAGTGGTTTCCAAGCACAGGAACTTACATTTTCTCCGATCATAATGTTTTCATGATCATGAGAAGCCAAAACTGAAATCATGATTAAAATTTGTTTTATCGTCCAGCACTAATACAGATGACACTTTCTAAATTAGATGGCGTGTAAAAGAGAAGCTGTAGCAGAGGCGGGCTGCAAAGTTTTACATTTGACAGTTTTAATGACTGGTTAAACAGTCGGCTTATATTGGCTGATGCTAAAATCAGCTGATTCACTGTGGGCTAAGTTAATCTTCTCTAGAGGGATCAGTCTTTATATTCGTGTCCCATCACCTCACAGGAGCTTTAAGCATCAAAAACTCTAACGACTCTCTTTGTCTGTCGGATCATTTTAATAAACCACCTTCTGCCAGATCACCGTCCTCGGCGCTGAATCCTCTGCCAACAGTCTGCAGTTCGTGTGTGTGAGAATAAAAAACGTCCAAACAGGTGTACAGAGTTTAAAGCTAAGCTGTGAGATTAAAAAAGAAACGCCTCAGCTCTCCCTGATCATTAACTGACTAACACTGAAAATATTCGTTAACATGCAGAGCCCCTCCCCCCCGTGAACCGTCCCGCTCGCCTCTCACGCCTCGTCTTTGGCTTACTTTGCTAAATCGAACTACACTGTGAAGCGGGAAAAACAACACGACACCTGAAACTGCCTGAAACCACACGACAAGACTCAAAAAACAGAAGCAACCAGAGCCAATCATTATACAGGCAAAGCTTTCTCCATGGCAATCAGAAAAAGACCCTTCCTCGTGTTTTGGCGCCTCTCAAACAGGAACCGCGCACATTTGGCATCCCCGCCGACACATTCAGCCGGCCTGCTCGCTCCCTAAGTGGATCGCCTGTGATTCTACGTTGTGACTTCCCCTCAGGCCGGCTCTGCCAAACCTCTTACATAATCTATAAGAGGAGAGCGCAGATGTGTGCGGGCTGGTTGCCATGGCAATCAGATCTTGCTGTTCTCCAGGTGGGAGTCAATGTGCTTGATGAGCGCGTCGTCGGGATAACCGACGGGGAATATGAGCTGGCAGAGAGGGCAGCTCCGCATGTCGCTCTCCTCGGTCTCCATCCAGAGCTGCAGAGTAGACACGCACGCACGCACACGCACACACACACGCACACACACACGCACACACACACACACACACACACACACGCACACACACGTATTTAGTTAGACTTCAGGATCCATCTCTCGCAGTCCTAAACTTTCTCACTTCACTGGATGGGATTAGTCACTCTGTGGGAGGAAACAAAATTACACCACTATCTGGTGAGTGAGCTCTTCAGACTTACACAACAAGGTTCTTTACGCTCCAGTAGACAGACTGGTAGTAAGTTCAGGTGGAAACACTCATCCTGCAACTGATTCATTACGTGATAAAAGTTCATTTTGAGAGGAAAAAGGAGCGATTAGAGGAAAAACTGAAGAAAGATATTTGCATTTTCTAATCTTTAAAGACGAGAGAAGAAGACGAGATGCCCTGATCTTAAGGGCCATTTTTCGAAGACTCGGTTTGCTAAAAATCTTCCCTCTTAGTGGTTTTTAGACATTAAAAATAACTATCTACACATCAGCACCCTTATTTGCATCTTTGCTGTTTGTTGCTACCTGTTCCGTCCTGGAAACCCGATTTGTACTGTGCATGTGCGAAACATACGTCACTTCCTCTCTTTGTATTTCAATGCATTTACGGCAGTGAGTTGTTACTATTGCTACCTACCTGATCCATACTGCGCAAGTGCAAATAAAAACTTTATTGAAACCAATTTCAGTAACCACCTAGCAATGTGACAGGCTAGTTAGCAGGAGGCTCCAGAGCTAATGCCGAGGCATTCGCCAGAGCTCTTGCCCAGCACAGTGAGACCTTTAGGGCCACAGAGAGCGCCACCACCCGGTCAAAATTATGGTTCTCTGACTTTTCAAAGTATCAAAGGGGGATTTAATTTGTTTATTTAATAAATTAAATTAATCAAAAAGAAGCCTACACATTATGGACGATTAATTTTAGTGACTTTATAGACGGGTTTCTTGTCCATCACACGCATAGCAAACTCCACAGCACAAGACACCCACTCACCCACTCAAAAAATACTTCAAGCTCCTCCCCTCAGGGCGCAGGTACGGAACCCTACGGTTTCACAAGGCCCGCTTTAGGAAAAGCCTGGTCCCTGCAGCTATAGATGCCCTGAACAGTCGGCCCCGGTGAATAATCTGTCCTGTTGCCTCCTTGCTGCTTGTTGCTGATTGCTGTTGTCCGGGTGTTTGTCATTAGTTGTCTGTTCCTTAAGGTCTGTCCTATGTGATGTGCATTTTTGTCCTTCTATGTAATGTACAGTTGGTGAAGACAAATTTCTAAATCCATCTATCTATCTACTAGGTGCGCGCGCAACCAGGGGGAAAATGCCGTATTGTTTGCAAGTTCTCCCGACACAATCGCAATAAAATGTCATTTCATTGTCTTTTATTGCAACAAAATCAGAAAAACACTTGCTGAAATGTCCATGAATTACCAGGTTGTGACGTTGATATATATGTTTCTAATATCAGGAGCAGGGTGGTAATGTTTGCCGATTGTTTGTTTTTGCCGATTCGTACAGTTTTCAGCACAACAGCTCCTCGTCATTTTCTTTCTCCGTTGACTACGCTAGTAAACAAATAAGAAATGTCCCGTTTTCTGCCCTGAGGCTGTGTGCGCAACCCGTGATGACGTTGCACAGAAACCCGTCTATACAGCGTTTCAATTTTAACAATGAAATATTTCCTTTCATTCAAGCCTTTTTATAACAATTTTATGCAATTTTCCAATTTAGCTGCAGTAGGAACCTTTAATCGTAAAACTGGGCGCCATTCTCTTGAATTCCAAAGCGCTGCGTTCAGTAACAAAGACAAGCGTGTTGCTGGTGATAAACTGAAGCATCCAATTCTGACTGAAGCGAGCTCGCTAATGCTGAAGCTGCCGCAAAGATGGCTAGTAGAGGAAGTGGCGTACGTTTTGCACATGCGTAGTACAATCTGGAGTACAGATCAGGTAGCGACACTGTTTTTTAAGTCGGTAATCTTTGACTCACATTGATCGAAGGCCAGGACTGAGCGTGCTCCGCCGACATGTAGCCCGGCTGTGGGGGGCAGGTGAGGGTGTTGGACCTCTGCGGGATGGGGAAGGCCGAGCAGGACGCCGGGCCCCTCATGACGCTGCTGGGCACTACGCCGAGCGTCCGGGGTGGGCTGATGGGATGCGGGCAGGTCCACTCCTCCTCGTCTTCAGAGGACTGTGGGGGCTGTGGGGCCGGCGTGGAGGGAGGAGGGGGCTCAAAATGCAGGTGGGCTACCTCGGAGAGCGGGAACGGCATCTCTCGAGAGTGGCGCATGGAGCTCTCCCCGTGGCCCCCGTCTCCTCCTCCTCCTTGATGGGAGGCCGGGGAGCCTCTGTGCTGCAGTCCATGAGAAGAGCCCACATGTTGCGCCTGCTGTTTTGAGTAGCCGTCGATGTAGGGGCGGGGCTTAGGCAGGGTGGAGACCGGGTCCAGGGAAAAGCGGGGCGGGCACTGGTAAGCAGACGGGTCTGAAACCTCTGAGTAGCTGCGGCGGCCCTGGAAGCTGGCCCTCAGGTGCTGGCTGGGCGGCCGGCAGGAGTACGACGCGGGTCCGTTGTTGATGTCCAGCAGGGGGGAGCGGCGGTGCATGTCCGGGGAGAGACGCTGCGGCACGGGGGAGCGTCTCTGCTGGATCGGGGAGTGGTGAGGCGGGGGTGGGACTGGAGAATGGCGCTGTGAGATGGGCGAGTGGCGCTGAGACACCGGAGAGTGGCGCTGGTGGTGGATAGGAGAGTGACGCTGGACTGAAGGAACACAGAAGAAAAAATTAACGTGATTAAAACAGACTATATTTATTACAGCTTACCTACTCTCTTCCAGCAGCTGCTTGTTTGTGGGGGAAGCCCTGACGAGTCCATTACTGACTGTGCCGGAGTTTCGCAGCTCAAGGAAGAACATTTATGATCATTTCTTCATGGAAATACAATCAGACCGAGACGCTAAGTCAGAAGAACAACCGCGTCTGCAGAGCAAAATGATTAATATGATGATTATTGCTTCAAAGAAATGATAAAGAAATGATCGTAAATGTTCTCTGTTGAGCTGCGAAACTCCGCTGCACTTCGTGATTACCTCGTGGTGTGGCTGTGACCCTATATGTCCTGTTGATGAAGTTAGGTGCTGTTCTGAGCATTATTTGTGGCGTTTTGGTTGAGGTTTGTGCGTGGAGATGTAGACCGCTGTGTATTGCTATCATGCGGTCGTTACTAAAGTTGGTATAACTAGAGAAGCGAGCGGTCGGCAACATTCATCTCTGGAGGGGGTGTCTAACTTGGTGTTACGGTGTTTTTGACCATAACTTATTTTACGCCGGAATATCCCTTTAAGAGGCCAATCACATTTCAACGGGGCCGGGACCACCTCTGGCCGCCCCTCTGGACACGCCCCTGAATCCAACTAGAAACTTTAGACTGAGTTTAGGGTAAAGCAAAATCTGCACCCTGGATATGTTGGATTAACGATGCATTCAAGGACATCAGGAAATCTAAACGTTAATATTCATTTTTCAAAAAGGCTTCACTTGTTACTAAAGTTAAAATTTCACCTGTATTCTTTTGTTAGCTGCACTTGCAGACAGAGAAAACGAACCATCAGTAAAGCAAAGCTCTCACTCAGCTGTGTGTTTTCACCTTTTTTTTCCTTTATTATTCAGAATCTGTTTACAGTCCACAAACTTTTGACCTTGCATCATAATTAAGAGGAAACATCAACAACACTTTCGCACCCAAACTGCAGATGCATCAATCCAGCTGCTGACATTTCCCTGAGCTTGAAAATGTCAGCGGCTGAAACACGAGGCATTATTCTCCCTCTATTTGGCATTAAAAAAACCGAGACTATAAATTTCATCGGAGGAGTTTTGTGTCACTTTTTTACTCGATAAACCTTCCTCCAGGCGAGTCTCTGTGACAGCACCGTGTTGGCAGAAACGCATGTTCCTCTTTGTTATCATCAAACGATTGTGATCTGCCTGAGTACAGTGGTACTGTTTCATGTAATTACGAGACATGTTGATGAGTCAGTCCGCGCTTCAGCTCCACACTAAAGAGGAAATATCTTTCACGGCTGGTGTGAGGAGGTGTTAAAGAGGAGGGGGCGTTCGTGCTCTGAAACGCTCTGAACGAGGAGGAAACAGTCAAACAGGACGACAGGAGAGTTTCTTGGTTTTCACACAAACGACTCACTGAGTGTGTTTGTCCTGTTGTTAAACACGACCGAGGGGGAAATCAAATCCTCTCCACGATCAGGGATCTGAGTGTTAATGTGACACAAAAGGACCTGAGGGGGAGATTCGTCTGTATCTGCATGAAAGTGAGCAGAGGATGCAGAGTTAGGAGACATGGGGTAGACGCAGGAAGAGTGCGACTACTTTAACATGACAGTGAGAAAACTGAAGCAACAATTTACTGCTACATCTTTGTTTTATGCTCCTTTAATGTTAAAAAGTAAAAAACACATTTTTTTTTTCTTTATTCGCGTCTTAACTGAGCTTTTTTAAGGTCTAACAGTGTGGGATGTGAGTGAGACCGGTTATCAGGACTGCAGCACATACTGTTTTGTTTTCGTGGTCTTCGCTCGTTCCTCCATAAGTCCAGGGGGAGGTGTTGTTTATTTCAGCTCAGGCCATATTTGTTTTCTTGGTCTCTGAATGTTTTTGTGGATTTCTTTGATAAAGTGTTGGGTTTAAAAATCTTGTTTGGCGTCCCTTTTTTAAGTCGGGGTCTCATGTAGGGCTGGGCGATAAACAGAAAATTTACCGATACCCGCATGCACGACAATAACGACGTCATTTTGCCCAAATCGGTTTATTTGGTGTCAAAAAATAAAAACATGAATAAAAGTTTGTTTTGGATGTGTGTGTAGGTCCCTTTAACAGTGTTGGGAAAGTTCATTTTCTACCTGAACTGGTTCGAAGTTCAGGTCACACATTTTAAAATGAAATAGTTCAGTTCTTTGTTCATAATTTCACTTTTTGAACTTAAATTCATGGTTCCCAAAAATGAAGTAATTTAGTTCTTTCTGACCGGACAACTGAAGGTCATGTAAACACCTCAGTCCAGCTGTAATTGGTGTTTGAAAACTCCGATTAAAACACACAGATAATGGGATTGGAATTCGATTTTCTCTACCATGTAAACGGCGTAGTCGGAGTATGATCGGACAATGCCTGTGCGCGTTTGCCACGTCTCCATCACCCCGGGAAAAAACACCAGAGAGGAAGTGGCGCTATCATTTAAAGAACCTTTGACTCAGAAGCAACTAGGTGAAAAAGTGAAGGGTCACCGCTCAATCTGGAGAGAAGGTGCAGGATTAGCAGAAACTTTAAAGTAAAAAGAGAGAAACAATCCGCACACTTCTGGTCTGTTGCAAAAAGAGCTTTCCTGAGCTTTTTGCAACAGACCAGAAGTGTGCGGATTGTTTCTCTCTTTTTTGACTCAGAAGCAGCTGCAACACGACTGAAGCACGAAAGAACGTCCACTTTTGGAACGACGAGAAGAGTGTCGTTACACTTTCCGTCCTGACAGAAATGGATATCTTAAAGTATATGGACGGTCAAAAATGAGGAACGGAGACATCTTTAAAAATGTCCTTGAAACAGTGCTGCTGAAAAGACCCGTATCGCCCCCTAGTTTTGGGGAGGAGGACAGATCCACACCAAATATCGATTTTCTCAGCTGCACGGGGAACAGCTGCGTCAAATACACAAAAAAGGGGTAAATTTGAGTCCCATCAGGTCTTGTGCAGTCAGTGATGGTTTCTGTTGTCTATATTAAAGCCAATCAGGTTTTTAACTCTGATATTGGTCGCACAGGTGTGTTTAAAACTCTGCCTTCGTTGCTCACCTGGACTGGCCTGCTCCTGTGACGCCTTCCTCAGGATCTCCGTCTGCTTCGAGCTCAGAGCTTGGAGGCGTCCCAGCTCCTCTGTTAACTCGGTGTAGGCCAGAGCCAAATTTACCCTGCAGGAAGAAAAGCAAATTATGTCATTATCATAATCACCGTCAACACAGAATGTGAGACGTGACCGCTGCTGCTGCTGCTGCTGCTGCTGCTGCTGCTGCTGCTGCTGCTGCTGCTGCTGCTGCTGCTGCGGCTGCTGCTGCTGCTGCTGCTGCTGCTGCTGCTGCTGCTGCTGCTGCACACATACACTCTTTATTCACCATCGTTGATCTTCAGGCTTTCTCTGATACTGGGATGAATGAAGCTACGACTCGTCTCCGTCGTCTTTTAACATATCAGCCTCCTAATTGAGAGGCGCTTTATTTTTAGAGTGCAAGTCACGGCGCATAATTGAGGAGTATGAAATCGCACCGTTTCGCGCAGAATGTGTCATGACTCTCTCTGGGGCCGCGCTGACACGGCGACTCTATTTCAAGACGTGTAAACAAGGAGGGTCAGCGTACACGCTTCTCCGTCTTTTCACCATGGAAACAAGCCGACTTTGTCTCGCCTTATTAGCTTTATCTCGAGTCCACAACACAAATTACACTCAGGTGGGTGTTGAGTACAAAAAGATCACCAAGAACACTTTATCTTTTATATTAAAGTTTATTAGCTTAGATGACAGAAACAGGTTTACTGTATGTGGTTAAAGATAGGCAGATACAGAAAGCATAAATTGCATCATTGCTGGGCATTTAATCCAGATAGACGTGCAGCTTCTTAGTCACCACCGGCCCGAATCTGATAAGAAACAGCTTATCTTTAAATGTCAAACCAATTTTTATAAACCCCACAGAGCTGATCTGAAATGTACTCATCCTGGCACAGATGGTGTTGAGATTAGAGTCTTTACAGGAGGAGAGGTGAGAGAGGAAACTTTGAAATCTAACCTGAAATCTGAAGAGATAATCAGCTTCTCCTGCCGGTGTGAGTAACGTTTGAAGAAGAAGAAGAGGGAGGAGTGCAGTTGGATCGTGAACGCAAAAACAAATGAGGTGTTTTCAGAGCTGAAACCACAGATCGGTATAACCGTGTCTGCAGACATGTCGTGTTTGTAGAACTTAACGCAAATATTCTGTAAGAAGCCGCCTTCAAGAAAAACTAACAACAACATCCTTTAAACTCTGGGTTTGATACGAGCGACAGCCTCCAGTTTTGAGGAATGAAGCCGACGAATCAGAGGCAAGGCTGATTTGACTGACAGGTTAAAGACCCGCCTCTGGTAGGTTGAGTCAGCATTTCCAATATGGCGACTAAATGGGCGGTTTTACCGACATTGTGTCAGTTTATTAAACAGTCTATAGTTTAATAACACGACATAACTCCCAAACTTTAACCAGTCATGAAGCTCCATGGAGAATTTATTAAATTGATCATTAATTCATTAATTTTTCCAAATGATTTTATGTTTTTATTTTGGTCCTCATGGTTTTATTTGAGGTTTACTTTTTGTTTTTGTTTCTGACGATCTTGTGCTTTATTACTTTTGTCAAGCACTTTGTAAACCTCTGTTTTTAAGAAGCTCTAAACAATTGAAGTTATTATTATTATTATTATTATTATTATTATTATTATTATTATTATAAAAAAATATTATATTTGTAAAAAAATGTTTTATTAATACTTCCAACATCATGTTTTTTTGGTTTATCAGAGTAATCCGTCTATCTCTATTTTGTTTAAAGCTCCTGTAGACAAATCAGTCTTTCTTATTTTGTCCTCTACAGGCTTCAGTACTAACTTTGATCATAAAATCTAATCCTGCTGACTCCCAATTATTGTGAGTAACTTTAAAACAGGGCTGTTTCTGCAGCTGCATATCGGTGATACCTCCCCCCACATTATCAGTAAATAAAATCATTATTTTATTAATGTGAAAAAACTCCTCACAGGAGCTTTAAATCAAGAATATATATGATTATCCTGTAAAAACAGTTTATCAAAAAAACTTAAAATCAGTTTAACATGTTTTATTTTCTCTAATTTTTCATTTACACTTAATTAACCATAAAAAAATAAATATCTAGATTGTGGAAAATCCTCGTCTGAATCAGCCGGAGCAGCTACATCCTAAATGTTGATTAAATCACCCAAACAAACCGTCTCAGTCAGCTCCAGCTCTTTCTATAACTCATCTACAGTAAAGTGAGCAGAACATCTAAACACCTTTGTGCCGTCTCATCTCAAAAATCTCTCTGCATGAACGTCCTGAACCAGATTGACCCCGTTTTCACAAAACTAGACATACAGCACATTATAATTACCTCGACCTCCTTTCACCCATTTCAAGACGTCACTTTTCAACCTCAAATCGTCTGTTCAGGTCAAAGGTTATCATCACAAACACAAACAGAAAGAGGGAGAGAGAGGGTTGAAAAAAGAGGATGTTAACCGTGTGAATCGAACCTCTGAGTGGACTAAAATTCGACTTTTGATGGTGTCAGATTAAAACACGCTGTGGATCTCTGCTGCATTTATAGGAACGAAAAAGAGACATAAACCACTCTGTGCAGAAAAAACACAGTGACTAATAATATGAAATATGTTCCTCGACACCCCCGCATGCTAACTTTATTCAGCCCTCTCACCTGCCTCTCAGACAAACATAACGTGGTTCACATTTCTCCACATTGTGTCGACTAAAAAGAGGTGCAGATTTAATTTTATGACACTTTTGTGGATTTCCAAATCCAGGATGTGCAGATTTCTTCATGAATCCAGCCGCCCGTTTCAAAGAAGTTCACCGTTTCCACAAAAAAGCTGAGATCAGTCATCCCTCCCCCGGCTGGTCGACCTTTTTTTCCCTCTGACCTGAGATGACTCAGACAGAGTGGGGGTATCAAACCCCTCATCATCCCCCTCCTTCAATATCTCGGCCTTCTCTGTTTGTGTCAAAAGCTGCAAACTTACACAACCATGCTGTCGGAAAAAGACGATCATTAGCTGACTTACTGACATGGTGGGCGGAGCTTGTCGTTTAATAACTCTCCCTGTTTTCTCTCCTCTCTCTGGGTCGTCTCCTTCGACTCTAAACACAAACTGAATGTCTCCTCTTCTTTTAAAAGCACGCTCCTCTTCCTTTTTCACACGTGCGCCCGTCTCACTTTTCAGTCTTTTGCGATTGTGCGTTTTGACAATCTGTGTCAGAGGCCGCGGGCCCGACAGTAACACCTCTCAGTGACGGCGGCGTGTAGTAAAGCAGATGTGTGAACTCTAAACACGACTAAAACCTACTTTAGCCGGTGTGTGAAATCACTTTTCTTGTTTGTGTTCGTCTAAAAATACTTTGTCAGCACAGCGCTGCGTTTCTTCTTAGCCTGAGTGCAGACGTACTGTACGGCGTACAGTGAGCTGTGTGGGAGGGGTGTGATGAAGGAGATGCTGCAGCTTTTACGGACGCTAAATACAAGTGCGCACTTTATTGTGTGATGTGTTTCTGATGCGATTCTCCATCAGATCAAACGTTTGGTGTCCTTTTCAGACTCGTCCTGAGAGGAACTAAAACACGAGGAGACGGTCAGCATGACGTGGTCGTTCTTCAGAGAGTCACGCTGTGGTCCGGTTTTCTGCACAGAGTAGGATGTTTGTGGACGAATGCACCAACTGAACTTCTCCTTTGCACAGTTTTGGGCCTGTGGAGGGGGGCGGGTGTTAAACGTCGGGGGCTTTTCACACTCTGCAGGCCTGACTTCACAACGATGACTCTGTGCACTTCCAGCCAAACAGAGAGGTGTCAAACGGTTCTCACACCAAGACGACGTCGACTGAACTCTCATTTTTTAACCGTTTCTACCAGGTAACTTTGACTCAAACACTCAGAAATTTGCACAAAAACCCTGCAGAGTACATAGATTTCTTCTTCTTCTTCTTCTTCTTCTTGAGTTGATCATCTTTCTGTGATTTATTGGAAACTGCTCTCACTTTCTGAAAGTTGAGCAGTATTAGTCAGTGGCTCTGTGGAGGTTGAGGGCGTCGCTGTTCTGGCAGCATCTGCAGCGCTGCTTGTGGCCTTGTGGTCGGCGAGGGCAGCGTGTTTGTGTATCGCTGGTGACGATTGAGGAAATTGAGAATTCACTGATGTAGTCACGATGACAAATGTGTTGGGCAGCAGAATCAGCCACAAGCTGCACACAAACAGTTTTACACAAGCAGTGATGAATTCGACAGAAGTTTAGATGAAAACTAAAAGTCAAGTTCGGCGGCAGAGCGACACGAGGACGCACAGTTTAAGTAAGAACACACCTGTGAGCTCTGAGGAAGGCGGCTTTAACGTCACCTGGCATTTTGATCCAGGATGAAACTTACTGAGTTGTTTCATCTGACTGGAGCAGACGCTTATGTTCAAATTCAGGATTAGACACTCTTTTTTCCTACAGTTTCTGACTCCACCTGAATGCAGCGTTAGGCCAACCAGGAGGAATTAGATTCAGTTTGATATCAGTCATGTTTAAAGTCCATTTTCACAATATCTATGTATACAACCAAACTGAGCACCTCGACCACCCTCAGCTCATCCAAAACGCTGCTGCTCGACTCCTCCGACAAAAAAAAAAAGCATGACCACATGACCCCGATTTTAGTGACCCTTCGCTTGCTCCTAGTCGATTTTAAAATTCTTTTAATCCTTTTTAAATCCCATCATGGTCCTGCCTCTTTGTAACTGTCAGAGCTCCTGCATCACCACTACCCAGCCAAAGCTTTAAAGGAATATCCCGGCATAAAAATTAATCTAGGGTCAAACACACCCTAACACCGAGTTAGACACCCCCATCAAGAGATGAATGTTGCCGACCGCTTTCTTCTCTAGTTATACCAACTTCAGTAACGACCGCAGGATAGAAATACAGAGAGACACGCGCTCAACCAAAACGCCACTCTATAGCCACAGATAATACTCAGTACTCACCTACTCTCTTCCAGCAGCAGCTTGTTTGTAACAAGACCTCAGGCCAGTCCATTACAGACTACAGCGGAGTGCCGCAGCTCAAGGAAGAACATTTATGATCATTTCTTTATAATTTCCTTGAAGTAATAATCATCATATTAATCATTTTTCACTGCAGACGCGGTAGTTCTTCTGTCTTAGCGTCTCGGTCTGATTGTATTTCCATGAAGAAATGATCATAAATGTTCTTCCTTGAGCTGCGTCACCCCGCTGTAGTCTGTAATGGACTGGCCTGAGGTCTTGTTACAAACAAGCTGCTGCTGGAAGAGAGTAGGTGAGTTGTGTTTAGTCTCTTTGCTAAAGAAATGAGTCAAAGTTAAAAAGATGTTTGGTGTCTAGTACTATGTCTGTGACCCTATATGTCCTGTTGATGAAGTTAGGTGCTGTTCTAAACATTATTTGTGGCTATAGAGTGGTGTTTTGGTTGAGGTTTGTTTATGGCTCCTCAGACTGCTGTGTTTTGCTGTTGTGTGATCGTTACTAAAGTTGGTAAAACTAGAGAAGCAAGTGGTCGACAACATTCATCTCTGGAGGGGGTGTCTAACTCGGTGTTACAGTGTGTTTGATCCAAAATCAATTTTACACCAGAATATCCCTTTAAGGTCTTCCGACCAGTTGCTTTTAGACGACCCCAAAACCAGACTGAAGTCTCGAGGTGACGGGGCTTTTTCTACCTGGCAGTATTAGAGCCTCACAGACTCTTAAATCCTCCTTTTTCTCCCTTGTGTTTCATGAATGAGCACACATTATTCATCAGCACTGTAGCTTTTATTCTTTAACTGTCTGTATTTTATTCCACTGTTTTTAATTTTAATCTTTTATTGTAATCTATTTATTTACTTCTTTTATCTATTCTATAACACTTTGTTTGACTGCTGCTTTATGAATAAACTTTGACTAAACTCCAGAGCAGCATCAAAACTGCTAATTTTGATAATATGCATGATTAAAGCAGCTCATTTCTGTCATGTAGTTTAATTATTCGAGTATAAACTTTCACTCTGGAAGATAAAGTTTGATTTGTTTTGCTGTTAGAGGCTCAGTCCAGCAGCTGCTCTCAACATTTCTCCAGTTTTTGGAGAAGTATCAAAGAGGAGCTCATTTACGGAGGTTTTTTAAAACATCACATACTCTCTCTCTCTCTCTCTCTCTCTCCTCCAGACTACAAAGTGCTCACCATCATTAGTGCAAAGGCGGCCTGTTAATATCCTCCACACAGCACATTCAAGAAACATCTTACTTATCAATCTGTGCAGTTTACACTAAACGAGGCCAATTACAAGAAAGAGCAGCAGGAAACAGAGTCAATTCATCGTAGGTTTTTTCGGTGGGAGTGAGTAATATTGGTGAGTAAAAGCAAAAGGTGACGGAGGTCTGGAAACAGCAGTAGGCATCACCACCACACGCTTGTGTTCTCCCTCACCGCTGCCCTTACTTTCAGTTTGCACCCCGAAACGCTTCTTTCAGTGTGTGGGAGTCAGCTGCCCAGCCTGCTGCGGTTTCTACCTTTTTTTTAACACCTCGTAAACAGTCATGCAACGCTTCAGGTGGAGGAGGAGGAAGAAGAAGAAGGAGAGGACATGAAAAGAGGCTGTTTTCTTTCTTTCTTTCTTTCCTTTCAGCTGAAGTTTGAGCGTTTCTCTGTCAGCCGCTGAGGATTTAGTGGAAACACTTAAGACTCGCTGCAGATCTGTGTGTTTGTAGAGAGGAAGTGTCCGACAAATACAGACATGAGGAAATAGACAGGAGAGGTCCTTCACTGTGCTTACACTGCCCCCTACTGATCAAACTGTTTCCAGCAAATAATGGGGCAGAAATATTAATGAGTGACACATCATTTACAGGAAATTATCAATCAACTTGACCAACTTCGGTTTATAAGAATCCAAGCTGAAGCTATTTTAGGAGGAATAACAAACACAGCAGGTTTACACTGAACTCTTTATGCTACTTAAAAAATGAAGCGTCACTAAAACTTTTCAAGATTACAAGATAAAAGAATTTTGACTTTTGTTTAATCAAAATTTGCCTCAAATTTATAAATTATGAGAAAAAAGTAAAAAATCTTATCTAAAAAGTCATTATTCTGTATTATTTAACTATTTTTCTTAAGAAATTTAAAAAAATAATCAAATTTGCCTTAGGTTTAGGAATTCTGAGGAAAAAAAATGTATAAATCTTATTTAAAAATCCACAACTCTGAGGGTTTTTTTTTTTTTAAGAATTTTTATTTGGATCTTAAAATTCTGAAAAAAAAAGAGTTGTTATTTATTTATTTCAAACTTTTTTTCTCAGAATTCTGGGATTCCAGTCAGAATTGGAGATTTTTTCAGAATTTTCAGAATTTTTTTAAAACTCAAAATTTAACTTAAATCTTAAACACTTAGAAAAATTAATAAGACCTGTTATGTTTTATTTGATTTTATTTCAATTTTTGTAAGAATTTTGATTTGGATCTTAAAATTCTGATAAAAAGAGATTTTCCTTTTTTTTTTTTTTTTTTTTCCCTTTTTTTTTAGAAAAAAATTCTATTTTTTCAACAGAATTTTTAAAAAACTCAGGATTTAGAGATCAAGTCTGAAATTTAACTTAAATCTCGAGTTTTAGGAAAAAATTCAACAAGTTTTTTTTTCTTACCAGTGGCTATCATAACTTGCCAAACTTTCACACTTGGCATAAAAAAATATTTTAACTTGTTGGCTTTATTTGTGGTTTTCCTGCAGTCAGATTTTTCCCAAACGAGCGATCTGCTGTCCTGAAATGAACTGTTGTGAAAACTAAAACTCCTTGCTGATGTATTTTAGTAGTTTTTTGGGTGATAACAGCTGCAGACTCATGTGTGAAACATGAAGACCTGCACATAGATAATAGTCTGTAAATTCTGCTGAGTATGCACTCTCTTTATGTCTCCTGCCCGTTTCTGTTATCGCAGTAATGAAGAATGTTGTAAATCTGTCTCGGCTTCATTTGAATACAGTGTGTTTGTCTCCCAGGGGTTGCAGCTGAGGTCACATATACGCAGTTCTGCGTTTAGTAATTGTATAGCATGTAGAGCAGTATCCCTTTGATAATGCTGCTTGAACCCAGTTATCCAGTGATGGAGAGTTTGTCTTTTTTTCTAATGAGACCCCAGGAGGTCGGCCTGAGAGCATCGCAGCAGGAGGAGAAAGATACAGATGATGCTTCATCCTCTTCCTCCGTCTTTATTCCCTCTTGCTTCCTGCTTCCTCCCAATAACACACTCACTGCTGGGTGTTTCCCCCCCATCCCTCCTTGTCTCATTTCCTCCCCTTCCTTCTCCCTCTGCCCAGAGATCGGCTGTGGTCACTTACTGCTCGTCTCCCACCTTCTTTATCCACTCCACATCACACTGCTTGCACGGAGAAGTCATTTCCTGCAGAAGTAGAGCGTGAAATTAGATTAGCATGCAGGTGCTGGTGGGATATTGGACAAAATCTGACAGCAAAAACCCATCGAGACAACATGTTTGAAGTTAGCACCATCAGGAAAAAGGAGCCCGGGGGGGAGAAACAGGTTCCAGTTATTGATATTTATTATTCAGGCTGTGAACGTGTGTGTTTTTGTGTGTTTTCTTATCACGTTCTGTTTGGGGGAAGTTTAGTTTTTTTTTTAAACTTTCTTAATTATTTAAAAACTCTGTAATGTGGCTTTGAAGGGCAGAAAATCAGCTGTGAGAAACACTTGACAAGATTATTATAATCACTACTTTCACGTGTCTCTCTCTGCTGATAAGCACAGATGTCCCCTAAAGTGAAGCTGAAACATGGAGAGCCATGTGAAACGATCTGAAATGACGCAAAACAGGATGACAAGACATGATATTATTGGACAGGAAACATGTTGATGCAGAATAACATACATCAACAGTATATGCTGCATGATATTTGATGCTTTAGCGCGCCCTGCAAAGACTAAGGCTCCTATGTTGTTTGTAACATCTCTCTATTTTCTCTGCTACCTGTAGAGCTGCAGGTGTGGAGGTTTTAGTGACAGGCGGCCTTCAACAGGGATAAAGAGAGCAGATGGCAATCATTTACAGATAAAAAAAGCAGCTAAAACATTCATTTTCCGTCTCTCTGATTCGCTGATTTGCTTCGCTTTAGATTTCGACACGTGAGAGGGGTTAATCTGACTCTTGGCACAAGTTTTTCCTCCCAGTTTGAAGTGAAACTCTGAATGCAGCACTGATTGAACAAACTGTAGTTCCATATTAAACAGAAACTGTGACTGCAGTAGTTTTTAAATGTCCTTGGTAGAGGCTGACTGTGTGTTGGGATCTTTGCTCTCTGCACAGCTCATCGCCTCGAGCTTTGACTAAACGGTCAAGGTCAGGGATTTGTGTCCCACCGAAGACATCCATGACAGAAATATATTCCCCCTGTGGTGCTTTAAAGCTGTCTGAATTGTACTGTCCATCATCTCTGACATGCTTTATAGGTTGACCCCTCACTGTGAGTGAGTGTGGACCAGAATAACAGGGACTAATGTATGCGGACAATCCTGCAGAACACAATCTGTGTGTTCATGTCCACATCCTGCTGCACACTCTGTTGTTTTTCTAATTGAATTTGGACTACTTCTCTACAATGGTATATAAGGGCTGCATTAAAGCTCCTATAAGGAGTTTTTTGATGTTTATGACATTGACTGAAACACATATTGATGCCTTTTAAAGAATTATAAAAGCAAAGCAAAATTTACAGTTTATATACTGTAAATTTGAATGCAGTAACCTGTATGAAGGGCAGGTGTCGGCCACGTTTTTGCATTTTTCAGATTAAAAATATAAACAATAAATAAAAAATTCAGCCATCAAAAGTCAGAATGATGAGATTTTTGTCCTGTAACGTTATTCTTGTAAAATTCTGACCTTGATCTTGTAACATTCTTACTTTCAATCTGTTACATTTTGGATTCAATCCTAAAACACTCTGACTTTGATCTTGTAACATTTTTGTTTTTGATCTGGTAACATTCTTACTTTAAATCTGTTACATTCTGACTTAAATCCTGGAACATTCTGACTTTGATCTTGTAACATTCTGACTGTCCTGTAAAATTCCATTTTTTAATATTATTTTTTTGTTACATTCCATCTCTCTTCTAAAACTCTTGATATATTTATCTCTTCCTCTTGTGGCCATGTTACTTTCTTTCTTACTGCAGAATGGCTAAAAACAGTCTCTCAGTGACAGTACATTTCTGCTCTTTGGCTTCAGGTTTTTAAGACTTTTTCGTAAATTCTATTACAGAGCAAAAACACTCAAACACACCCTGTACAGTTTGCTCTTGTTTCGTATAAAGATGAGCTGTCAGCATCACCCTTTCTTATCTGTGTATTTTGAGTTACATCTTGACTGAAAAGACAAAGATGTTATCTTTTATAACAAAGCTGTCTTGTTGGAGCTTGAGCATATTTAACTCTTTGCATGTGCTTTGTGAAATTGGAGGTGTAGTGATTGCAAAAGTGTTGCAATCCAGCGGGGAATCAGGTTTTTGGGGGGAGCTGATGGGGTGGACCCCTGGCACACAAGTGAAGTGTATTTGCATACTGAGAGGGTGTGGAGGTGGTTTAAAATCACACAAATACAAGTGAACACTGACCCGTTCCCTTTGGCTGTTCTGCAGCATCCTCATCTCCTCCTTCAGCCTCTCACACTCCCCCTTTAGCTCCTCCTCCCGTTGACACGCCCCCTGGGCCTCATGCCTCGCCCCCTCCAGCTCCGCCTCCAGCCGCTGTAGTTTCAGGTCAGACAGGGCGTCTAAGCTACGGGAGCTCTGCAGGGTCATAGCCGGACAATCCAGCACTGTAAAGACGAAAGGAAACATAAAACATTCATCACTGCTTTCCGCTCCGGCTGATGCAGGATTCTTCTCCACCCTGGCTGTTGTACAAAAGATGAAAATTAAAGAGCTAAAGAGCTGACTCCTTCCAAGGCCAGCATCTTTCAGTTTGTACCTGTGTGGGCATGATAGTGATTCAGCTCCGCTCACACACACTCTGTCCTTGGGCCAGAAGACAGTGTAATAACGCAGCAGGAGCATCTTTTCTCTCTCAGCTCCTCCTGCCTCCTCCTCCGTACACTCATATGTGGAATCACAGGTGCACACATGCTGTACACAGTCTGCACTACAAGAGATTTCCTTGTAACAAACCTCATTCATACACACAAACACTTATTAATCAACAACGCTGTCTCGCAAACTCGGAGTCCTCACATTACTAATAACATACTAAAGAGCCTCGAATACACCAGTTCGATTCCTGTGCTAATTCATTCCTCCTCTTCATCAAGGTATACCCTCAGTGGAGGCATCTGGTGAGGTGGCGGTGACACATTTTTTTATGGTTTTATCAGCCGCCCACGTCAGTAAAGAGGGCACAGTTCAGCTAACTTGTCTTTAAGTTGAGCGGAAACTGTACAACAGTTAGACTGAAGTTCTGTCCCTCAGTTTCAAACCTTTTCTGAGCTGCATGACCAGAAGAAGTCCACCTGAAACTCAAAATCTGTTTTATGAGAAGTCCTTTTTGAGACGCCAGCGATAAAGATTAGACATAGCAGATTGAATACTCCTATTTTTATCATCCGTCATGTTTAATCTTGTTTAAAGTGACTCTGAACCTCCTAACAAGATGAGGGAGCAAAACATAAAAAACACTTTTACCCATGAGCTTGTAAGGAATGATGAGCAGGATTTTTCTACTGTGATTATAGATAAATAACACAAATACAAAGAAAGTTAATGTTTTATGGCCAAATACAGAAGGACTGTTCCATTCATTAGTCATTATATATATATATATATATATATGTTTATATATATATATAAACATTTTAAGCTGTTAAGTTATTCTGGGATCTTTTTGTCTGTTTACTGACATTCAGAGATTTCCCGTTAATGAAACAGCACTTACACTTTTCAGGAGCTCCAGTTCAGCTCTGTTTTATACAGGACCTAATTTCATGAAAATATTACCCATGGTGTGAGAGCTAAGACGAGTCTCGAGTCTCACGTGTATTTTCCTCCTCTCAACTCAGAGAAAGTGGTGTGGTGACAATCTTTGAAACTCGACTTTATTTCAGACAAATGAACTAATTTCCATTTTATGAGTCAAATCCTCTCGCAGGTTTTTCTTCCATGTGGTAATGCGTGCCGATCACAATAGAGATCAGTCAGCAGGACAGATGGAAGCAACAGGCTGAACCTCCCAGAGAGAAATCCTCCAGTTTACAGCAGCAGGCGCTTCACTCTGAATGATTGAATTTCAATCAGCGGCACCAGATCATAGTTTGGAGGTCTCTGCTGCTCGGACTTTGACTGACAGGACGGTTCAGACAGAAAGTCTGAGCTGGATGAAGACAAACCTCAATTAAGGTTTCTGGATTGGTTTAAAGATGGAGGCATGGATGGGCGTATGGTTAAAGAACAGGTACGAGGATGGTGGAAGGATGGACGATGGTTGAGTAGATAGATGGTTGATAGACAAATAAATAGATCGATAGATAGACGGCTGGATGGACTGGAAGAAACATGATGATGGACAGAATTATAGATGAATAATAGATAAGAAGATGATGGACAAATAAATGATTAAATGGAGGGAAAGCTGGTGATAGAGAGAGAGAGAAAGATAAGAGAAATAGATGGACAGATGGATGTATTTATGGTTGATGGTTTGGTGCATAAATAAACAGATAAAAGTAGGAGAGACGGACTGATGGATTGGCAGGATGATTAATGGAAAGATGGACAAATGAATAAGTGAAAGATGCACGGATGATAAACGGTCGACTCACTGTGAGCGTCGGGGCCGGCGTGCAGCTGCAGGTACTGCATGTCTTTGCTGTGCAGCTGCATGTTGAGTTTCTGCAGAGAGCTGTCCCTCGACCTCAGAGCCGACTCCAGGTCCAGGATCCGCTCCACGTGCTTCTCCACCAGGCTCGTCTGCAAACACACATCGCAGATTTAAACCCCTCCTTTTATTTGACATTAAGAAGTTCGATAGTTATAAAAATATTGGATTTGTCTTTAAAACAGGTGTTAGTGTAGGACTGGGAATATTCTGCACAAACAGATGCAGCTATTTTAAAAAGCTGAGGGTCTTCATTTCAAGCACCAGAAACTAAATTTAACACACGTATCCTTGAGGGTTTCTTTGGTTTGTCGTCCTCTGTGCTGATGCCGAAGTGTGGTCAGATCTGTGTCAGCGGTCGGTTGTGTTTCTATTAATACACCGTGTGGATCAATGAGCGCTGGAGATGGAAGTCGAAGGTGTTGCGAGGGCGTTTGTTGGCCTTCCTGAATACACAGAGGAACAACTTCCCCCCTGATGGAGGGTCAGAGGTCGGTCAGCGAAGCCCTGCTGGAATACGGCGCCGCCTTGTTGCAGCTTCGGCTTCTGGTGACATTGAAAGTGTATTATTCTTTGGCAGGTGGCATTGTGGCGCACTTTATCCCTTAATCACTGTGACTGTTTGAAACTGCTGATTCTGCCGGGCAGGAGCCGCTCAATAGACCGGGCGCTCACATGAGACGTTTTATTATCACAGAGGGGATCTGTGAGGGAGCAGCCAGACAATCTGTGCAGTTGGAAGCCTCTACCTGGTTTGGATCCACTTTGATTTGTTACAGAGAAATGAGACTGTCACAGTTTCAGACAACTGTAAAAACGGCCCACAAAAGAGTTAAAAAGCTTTTCTCCAAGTGTCTTTAAAATGACAGGAACCTGCAGAGACTTGGCGACAAACTCAAAATTGGATCTTTTTGGAAAATTATTTGGACAAAAACACCACACATCTTTTTAGTTGAGTAATTAAACAGAAGACATTTCAAAAGCTTCTCTTTGAAGGATTGTTGAGTCAGTGAGACGAGCAATTAAAATTTTTAGCCTGAAAGGATAAATTTTAATGAGCTTAAAAATTTACAGAGCACAATAAAAGAGTCCAGAACTATCAGGGGTACGCAGGGAAACTAATATTAGTGAAATCTACACGTATGCAGCCGAAAAACCTCTCTAATGTGGGAATAAGGAGCAGGGTGGGATTTTTGTGTTGACTTTTACTACATTTTAAAAGTTTTTAACCAGTTTTACATCTGCCTGCATCACCATTATTATTACTGTTTTCCAATGACTGAGAAAAAGGCTAGTGGATTTTACTTCACTGTTTCTTACAATGATGAGGCGTTAGGGCCTGTTTCCACTGACAGTGTTCCTTGCAGTGACAGGGCCTTTTTTCTCTTTTTTTTATTGAGTTTTACTGAGTTTTATTGAGTAATTTATCATAATCTACATTCTTCCATGGTGGTGCCGGAATAAAATAAAACCCTTAGCGTTTCTCACCATGATGAGGCGTTAGGGCCTGTTTCCACTAACAGTGTTCCTTGCAGTGATAGGGCCTGTTTTCAATGTAGTTTATCTTTGTTAACAACAATAGTGGAAGTCTGTACCAAGAGCAAACTGACCATTCCCATTTTTTGAAGGTCCAATTTCCAGGGCCGGAATTTGCTACTGATGATACATGATTTTACAATTTAACATTTTTATGATTTTTTTGTAAATTCCACAAATAAAGGCAAATATGAGGGAAGGTAAACACACTTCAAATTTACCACTTTATGAGTAGGAATTTCTGCCAGACAACTTTCATTACTTAGCAAAAGCAAATGCCAAAGTCACAGGTACTGGAAGCACAAAAAATGTTGTAAGTGGACACAGGCCCTTAAGCTGTTTTTTTCTAATACATTGCAACCAGTTTTACATCTGCTTGCATCACCATTATTATCACTTTTTCCTTAAGATATCAAAGTAACTGAGAAAAAGGCCAGTTAGTGGATTTTACTTCACTGTTTCTTACACATGATGAGGCGTTAGGGCCTGTTTCCACTAACAGTGTTCCTTGCAGTGACAGGGCCTGTTTTCAATGCAGTTTAACTTTGTCAACAACAATAGTGGAAGTCTGTACTGAGGATAAACTGACCATTGCCAAAGTCAGGGGTACTGGAAGCGCAAAAAATGTTGTGAGTGGACATAGGCCCTTAAGCTGATTTTGTCGAATAAACTGCAAAAACTCAAACATTGGCATTGTGTCAGCAGTCCCAGAGTTAAAGCAAATATGAGGGAAGTTAAACACACTTATTAGTTACTACTTTAGGAAGTGGAAGTGCTGCCAGACAACTTTTATAACTTTGCAAAAGCAAGATCCAAAGTCACGGGTACTGGAAGTGCAAAAAAATGTTGTGAGTGGACATAGGCCCTTAAGCTGCTTTCTTCAAATACACTGCAAAAACTCACACATTGTTAGTGTATGACTATTATCGCTTGCCTGAGCTCGCAGCTGATTACACTGGGCTTTATTTTTGCTGTCATATCTTTGAATAAGAGGCTCATCTGGACTTGTTCGGTAAATTTAGAGTCTATTGAGATACATCTAACTAGAAATAACACAAATACTCACGCTAAGATCTGAGCCTTTTCAGTGAATCTTATTCAGACATTCAAGGTGATTCAACTTCAGGAGCGAGGAGGTCACTCAGGAGAATCACTGAGGGTTAGCAGCAGAGTAATTACTTATTCCAGGGGTCTGAAAAACTTGTCACCCACACTCTCGTCCTTTTCAGTGGACTGATTCATACACTCTCTATTATCTTTGGTTTCATTGAACGGATCTCCTCTCCAAAAGTCGACAGGATTGCAGAAAATCACGGTGCAGTCGTCTGCATAATTATTAATAACGTCTGAGAAATCAATGGGCAGAAATGAGGCTGCAGAACTGGACGCTGAGGGTTTTCTAGAGCAACACTCCCTGTTTCATCTGCGTTACCTTTCCTCGTTCAAACGGCGCTCTTGTGAGTCTCACCCGTGCCAGACTGCCCTCACATATCTGAGGTACTCAGTCTGTGTGTTTCTCTTTGTTTTCAGTTTCAGGCTCCTGCAGAGTTTTACCCCACTTTTGAGTTTTTCTCTCTCCTCTTTTTGTCTCTCTGTTTCTGCTTACACCTCCGATAAGCGTACCTGTGACTGCCTTCATGTTTCAGCCTTTCTCTGTGATGGAGTTTATTTCAGCACTTAGCGCCGCCGTCACAGTTTGCATTCGGCTCCTCTCTCCTTTGATCCTTTTGTCCTGTTTTACCATTTGTGACAGATTTCTATGCAAGCGTATTGGGGCCGTTGTTGCAGCAGTGTTTGATGCAGAGGTGACAAGGTTCTCTGACAAACTCTTTCAGACTTTCTTTCACCTAAATTTAATATTTTTCTCACAAATCTTTGACTCTTTTCTCTCAAATTTGCAGCTTTTACTTTCCATAAAAATCCTGCAGATCCTTCAAAAGTCCTAGAAAGTCTTTAACTAGATTAAAAGTTTATTTAAATGACTTATTTCTGTAACATTTTTGCTTTTGTTTGATTGGAGGGCTTAAGAGAGACAGGAACTGTCGTGAGCAAAGACAAGCAGCAAAAGGGTCATGGCTGGGAATCAAACCGGCAACTGCAGAGACGAGGACTGTAACCTCCATAAAGATGGCGGTTAGACCAAAAAGCCATCAGGGACCAAGATTTTAAAATCTAAGGTCTTTAAAAAGTCTAATTTTAACTAGATTTACTGGTTGCTGAGGTGGAGAGCATCAAAATTAATATTTTTAAACATTTATTTTTATGCTTTTTGTTTTTATTTTTGAAAGGACAGGACTGAGGATAGAGGCGGAAACAAGGGGAGGGGACAGGGAGAGACAAGTGGGAAAGGAGTCACAGGTCAGACCTGCACATGTGAGGATTACGACCTCTGTAAATGGGACACTAACACAGATTACCAGTCCAGCAGCACCCACAAATCAGAACTTTTGACTCCATTAAACTCATAAAACATCTTTAAATCGGCGAATTGAACTTTTCACAGGTGGATCAATATTCAGCAGGATGTAAACAGATGCATTACTTTGACTTTTTTACCTGTAACCTCTTTTAAATGATAAAAATTAAGTTTTAAATATTTTATTCTGGCTTCAGTCGATGTAAGTAGTCAGTCGGGGTAAACAAAGTTTGTCAAAGAGCTCTGACATTTGAGTTTTATACTTTTATAGAAACAATATCTGATATTTGAAGAAGTTTAAAGATGACTTTCAAAAACTGGTTTAATTTTTTCTCTGTTCGGGTCTTAAATTTGGTTTTAAAAAGCGTGTAGGATGTTCGTTATAATCTCACAGATTTCCTCTCTTTCCTCTCAGGAGTGTTTCTCTTTTTTCTCATTTCTCTTCCTAATGTCTCTCATACGCTGTAAAAATCTTGTAACGGCTCCAAACCAAAAGTTTTGCAGCGTCAGTGTATTTATCTCCCACATTTATGGGATTTAAATGAGTTTAACGTTTTAATTTCCACCCTCCTCAGCCGAATGTGAAGCTGTAAAAATTCATTATACATGGACCATATGGCTGCATGTGCAGCGAGGTGAATATTTCCTGACCATCTTGTCCAGATCCCTCTGGAGGTTGCTCTTCTCCATGTGAATCTTCTCGTAGGCCTGGATCACGTCCTCCAGCTGCTCCTCTCGCTCCTTCCTCTTCTGGAGCTGAAGGGAAAATAAAGAGAGAGAGAGAGAGAGAGAGAGAGAGAAAGGTTTGACACACATTTACTCATCTTTGTCAAAACTTCCCCACAAAGAGAGAGAGATGAAGACATCAGAAACTTCCCGAGTGTGGGACTCATCAGATGTCTCTTAAGAAAGAATTACATAACGAAGCAAATTTAGGACAGCAAAATCCTGACACCTCAGCAGGAGCATAAGAGAGCCTGCCTCGTTCGTCAAATGGATAAATCATGTTTCAAAAGTCATCTTCTGCTCTATAAATTCTTGATCTCTGGCTGATTTATCCTCCTCACACTGCGGCACAAAGAAGGCGGCGAATGTCACCAGAAGCAGCAATGATCACAGATTTTACGACGCGCAGATTCGAGCGAAATGAAGAGATTTTTCGGAGCAGATGAGGACACAGAAATACGTGATATTTTGATTTTTTTTTCTTCTTCTTCTCGGTGAATACGGCCACTACAGATAAGGTGGAGAATGAGAGTGGGAGCAGCTGCAAGGGAGTGAGATAAACAGAGAGCCGGCGAGGACAAAGAGCTGTGTGTGCAGGAGCTCTGAGGCCTATTCAGTGTGTCTATGGTAACATATGCTTGATGAAAACTGGCATTAAGGTGAGGACGGCTTGTCAACAGAATCGTGACTGAGGACAGCTGGATCACTCCACAGCCTGATGTCTGAAAACAGGTGCATGCAGACGTACGGTTCGACTCCAGGAGTCTAAATTTATCAAAATGTTCGATTTATGTGCCGTTATCACCCCCGTCCAGATCCTGAAGCTGGGATCAGAAGTGTAAAACCGACGTTTTCCTCACCGAGAATATGCAAATAATTTAATCTAGATTAACAGGTGTTGGTGCTAAATTAATCTTGAGTGACGTTGAGCGGCTACAGAAGAAGAGGGCGTGTCAAGATCATCATTCAGTCAGCTATTATACAAAGTTAACTTGTTGAGTACCCCGTCTGGCAGAACTTGAGTCCAGGTCTTGGAGTCTGACTGTGATCCTCCTGATGGATCAGGACTCAGGTGACTTGATTTGAATCCAGACTCTAAAGATGGAGGATGGTCTCAAACTTCTGAACCGATAAACACATTTTTAGTGTTTTATTTATTTTTTTAATTACTGGCTTTAATCACTCAGTGTGGACCCCTTTACCACCTGAACAGGATTAAATCCAGATTAAGAAGTCCCTGTAGGTGTAAAACTCAGCCCCTTTGTCCTTCCTCTCTTCTTAAATTGTGCTGTTAAATACCTGATCACATCCAGATTAGCAGTGAAAATCTCAGAAATCCTTTAAAAATATAAAATGACACAATATGATATGATATAAAACACTATGATATGAGACGATTCAATATGATATAAGATGATACGACATAATTTAATCATGATATTGTGCAGTATGATAGGATAAGATATGATGCTATTAGTCCTGATGCGATATGATAGTATGCAACTTTGTTAAGTGATTCTACATAATTCAAAATTAAACAACATGATAAGATATGATATGATACAACATGACGTTATGTGAGTGAAAAGACAAGATATGAGGACATATGATAAGCTATATGATATGATACAATGTAAGACTATACCATAAGATTAGATGCACTGTGCTGCCCTGTGATGTGATACAATGACATATAATGTAATTAAATACAGTATAATGGGATATAATATGATGCATGATACCATATGATAGGGTAACCTAATACATTAGCTATAATTAAGATAATGTCAATAAAGAGAATTTGTAATTATTGATGACAAGATCATCATGAAATAATTCATATTAATTCTTGATAACTAAAGGATAAAAAATTCTACTTAAATTAAAAGTGTCTAATTTCAAAACACATATCATATCTGACCATATCATGTCTCATATCATATCTCATATCATATCTCTCTCTCTCATATCATATATTATATCATATCATATCATATCATATCATATCATATTGTATCTCTCATATAACATCATATCATATCCCGTCATATCACACCATTTCATATAATATCTCTCATATCACATCATATCTTATATGTCGTATCATATCATATCTCTCTCATATCATATCACATAATATTTCTCTCATATCATCACATTAGATCTATCACATCATATCATATCATTTTTATATCATATAATGTCTCTTATATCATTTATCTCTCTAATATGATATATATCTCTGATATCATATATTATATCATATCTCCCTTTTATATTATATCTTGTTGCTCTCATATCATATATCATATCATATCTCTCTTATATCATGTCATGTCATTTCATATCATATTTCTCATATCATATCATATCATATCATATCTCTCTCATATCTCCACATCATTCGGGATGACATTAGTTTCCTGTATCCATATTTTCTCTGACCTCTGAATCAGATTAAACACACTCACATTTATATCAAGTCTTAATACTGAACAGTTTTATAAGACAGATCTGAACCCTGATCCAGCTGCAGAGGAGAATTATCTAACAGAGATAAATAAAAAACTGTCTCCTGTAAAAAGGCTGTTATATCAGCTGCTGTCGCCGTTTTTCACACCATGTCCCCAAAAAGATGATTTCACACGTCTCCACTCACTTTCTTTGACTCACAGTGTCTGAGGAGAGCGAGCACATTAGCAGCTCAGCTTTCTTTCTGATAACTGCAAGTCACCACCACGGTCTACAGAGAAGGATAAGGTGTGTGTGTGTGGTGGTCAAGTCCCTACAGAGCATGCTCAGTGAGCCATGGCACATTTCATCTCTCTGAGCCCCTGGTGTCAGCTCTGTGACCTTGGGTCTCCTGCACTAATCGTTTCTGCTGCTCTTATAAACTCTTTCCTTCTTTTCTTGAAACCAGGCGCTGTTTTATTCCCTCGCTCTCTTCCACTTTTACCTCTCCACTCGCTCTCAGTCCTCCTTCTTTCCCTCTCTGACCTCTTTTTTTGTGCAGCAGCTGGATTCAGGTTTAGTTTTAGCCCTGCTTTGTCCAACTGCTGCCTTTATTAGCATGCACACGTCTTGTTTGGTGTTTAAAATCATGCTGTTCCTTAAAAAACAGCTAATTACAAAATGTGTTATCCCATCATGCACCGTAGGATGTGTTGAAAAAGACACGTAGAGAAATCTTGGCCAGATTTGGTCCCAATTACTCTGCCGCCTCTCAAAAATAGAGCAGCAGCGTGAAAATCCCATGTCACACTGCTCGTTGGACGCTTTCTTAAAAAACACCCGATCTCTGTAATTTTGCTCGGGCAGCAGCTTTAGTGCTTAATTAGTTCTGGATGTCTTTCAGCGTGTGTCCACCAGGGTTGGCCTACATTCACGAGTAATTCAATTAATGCACAAGCAGGGAGGGATTTCTGCAGAACCGTTGCAGCGATGAGTGCGCTCGAAAAAGTCCAAACCACTGAGTAAGAAGGTGGATTTTGTCGTCCTCTGCACACATCCCACCTTCCCTCCCTTTCCTCCTTCTCAAGCCCCCGTTTTCTCCTCCCTCCTCGCGTCCTCGCCTCCTTCCTTACCTCGTGGGTCAGGACGTTGACTCTCTGCTGCAGGTTGCCATTTTCAGAGTGCAGCAGCGCCGTCTCTTTGCTCTCGAAGGAGCAGTAGGAGTTGGTGTTGTCCCCGAACTCGCTGATCATGGGGAACTGCGGGGAAAAACAGGCAAACAGCGTTATTAAAGAATTAGACACAGTTGAGAAGAAAAGGTAGATGAGAAAGTTTAGGGAGCCCGGGAAAAAAAGCTTATTCATGATTTTGTTTGTCTGTTTGCTCATGAATCTTTCTCCTTTTTTTTGATGATTCCACTCTGGGATCATTAAAGATTCATCCGGCATCAAGTAAACTTCTGTTTGGCCCAGATATAATCACTCGGTGTGTTTTAACCAAAAGTCTTTCCCCCCTCATGAACTAGATTTTATTCCTCTCCTAAACTAATCAGCGAGTTTGCTCGGCGAGTCTCTCCGATTGTACTCTCTGATTTCAGCCCACACAATGAAATGTGAGGAGACGGTCCATCCATCAGTCTGTAACCGAGTTTGTCCATCTGTCCACGAAAAACCCTGGAGACTGTCAAAGACTTTCCTTCATTACACCCACTGCCTCAGGAGTGTGAGCGGGACTCTTCATTTAAGGGTTTTTCCAGCCAAACGAGAAATCCAAAGAAATCTGACACCTCGTTTTTTATCAGCTCAACATCTCCTCTGTGGTCCGGCGTGAGCTGCCCAAAAGTTTGACTCCATAAAGGGATATTCCGGTGTAAAATTAATTTAGGATTAACACCATAACCGTAACATCGAGTTAGACCCCCCCTCCAGAGATGAATGTTGTCGACCGCCTGCTTCTCTAGTTAAAACAACTTTTGTAACGACCGCACGATAGCAATACACAGCAGTCTGAGGAAACAAAAACAAACCTCAACTAAAACACCACTCTATAGCACTAGAGACTAAACACAACTCACCTACTCTCTTCCAGCAGCCGCTTGTTTGTAACAAGACCTCAGGCCAGTCCATTACGGACTGCAGTGGAGTTTCGCAGCTCAAGGAAGAACATTTATGATCATTACTTTATCATTTCCTTAAAGTAATAATCACCATATTAATCATTTTGCAGACGCTGTAGTTCTTCTGCCTTAACGTCTCGGTCTGATTGTATTTCCATGAAGAAATGATCATAAATGTTTTGAATTGTTTGCATTTATGACGAGCTAGCTAACGAAGTTATAGCTATTGATAGCTACATTGATGTCAGACTGCTATTGCTAACAACAGCTAACAACGGCTAAAAATTACGACAGAAGGTTGTTGTCCGACTCGTTTACTGGTATTTTCGCATCAGTCTACGACTCAGCCAGCAAGCAGCGAGGCATGATGACGCAGCAGTAATCGAGTGGCGTTTCTTAGGAGCGTGTTTTCACCCCTTCCCCTTAGCCTGGGTAAGAGTGACAACTGGGATTAGCGCTGAGTATGAAAACTGGCCGAGTTTGCCGAGTGTGGAGAACACCAGCAGAGCTAGCACCACCGAACTCTGAGCAGGTGAACGTCCACATGTCTGTGTGATTAACTCTTTAACTCTGTAAAAGGAAACTGAAACTCGACTCTTTTAATCTGGATTTTAACTCAGAATTATCTCCTCCTTCCTTTTAGCATCAGACTATTATTACTGTTACTGTCTTAATGTTTATCTTATCTATTTATTTATTCTGGTATTTCTGTCATCCTTTTAAATTTGTAATCTGTCCGTCTGCTCTTCTGTGTTGCTTTCTGAGCTGCATGCATGTTTGTATAAGAGGTGCTCTATAACCTCCTGAGAACTAAGGGAAAAAAATATCTTTCAATTTAACTTTTTTTTTGTGATTTCCAGCCTCTTTGAAGCTAAAACAACAACTTACAATTTAGATTTTTATAAATATATTTTTATTTTAGATTTTAGAGCGTGTCCACTGTAGTGGACAACAGGACGATTTTACTGCAAAAAAACAGCGATCAAAATAGGATGTCATCAAAACAAAAATATTAATTAATTTTCTGATCAAACTCTCTAAAATTAAATATTTGACTGAACATTTGCTTCACAGATTTTCTGTACTGACTGTCATTGAATTTGACTTGAGTTTTCACAGGCGTTCGGGTCCTCTTAAAAATCAGAAGGCAGCGCAGATTTGAATGTGCTGGCTCCCCTCCTTTTCTTCACGGTATTTTGATCTACAATGATTTAAAAAGTTAAAAATTTACTCAGACAAAAAGTTCCACACGTTGTACTAAAACTTATTAAATAGATTTTCCAGAAGTTTCTCAATAATGTGCACAATGATGCAAAAGGTTTGATGCTGATCCTTATATTCAGATTTCATTAAAATTCAAAGTTACAGTGAATTTTTGAATCCAAGGAAAAGCCTGTAATCTGCCTTTATTAGAGGAAAACACCGAACATCATCTCACGAACAGAACAGAACTCTTCCCAAAGTATCAGTATTTTCTTCAGCCAAGAGTATAAAATAGAAAACAGCATATTCGCCTCTTTTCGCCTCACTGCTGCTCATCATTCATGGAGGGCAAACATACTCTCGGTTGGATGAGATATACAGCAGTGAGAGACCTACAGCTGTGATGCAACGGCGCAACACGGAAACTTAAAATATGCAGAAATAATTGCATTAGAGGCGGCTACGATCCTGCAGATAAAACTGGTTATGTAAGTGAAATCCTGTAGATCCAGGAGCTTCACAGCATTCATGTTGTTTTGGAGTCGGCAATTTGTTGACTCCTAAATTGCCGCCTGGTCACAGACTCCAGTGAAATAAAACACACAGGATGAGTTATATAACCGTGTGGTTTAACCTAAATGAACACATTTACATTTAGAGTGCCTCTCGTAAGCGGCGAGGGTTTTTCATTTTCTGTTTGAAGTCATTGCAGCCGATGCAACGTCTATTTGAGGAGCAAACAACCTTTTTCCATTTAGCAGAACACCTCTCTGCTCAGTTTACCAGTAAATGTTCCCAACATGGGTGAACCCCCCGGGGGGGCCGGGAAATTCTCACTCTGCCGAGCATCAGGAAGTGGAGGACCGCCTTGCTCAGAGCAGAAGCACTTCCATCGACATGGTTACTGCAGCCGTACACAGTCCTCCTGTGTCTGCAGAGAGCCTGCGGCGATAATAATAACGCTTCGACAAGAAGTTAAAATAGTTAAAATAGTTTAAAATCTGTCAATATTGATGGATTATCTGCAGCTGAAAAAAAGAGGCGAACGCTGTATCTACAGATGCACAGGTGTGACCGCTGCAGCTCCACACCTGCTCTCAGAAATATCAACACCTCTCTCTCTCTCTCTGGGATTAAGTCCTGAACAAACTCTCCCTCACAAACAGTCAACAGTGATGTGGCGGCCTGCGGCGCTCAGTAACAGCTGCCCACAGCTAATAAGATGCAGGATTCCTGCACCAACACTGGACGCTGAAGAGAAACAACAACGAAGGGTCGACTTAGGAGTGAAGAACCATCATGAGGACGCTGAGACGGCTCAGAAAAGCTGACTAATGGAATAAAAGACTAAAGGTTAAAGTTTTATGTGTCGTTTCAGATAAAGAAAAACACATTTAACTAAAGAAATAATCCACTTCTTTGGATTCAGGAGCTCCAGAGTCAAAGTTTAAGGAAACACCAACATCCTAAAATCCAGAGTTCAGCAGCGCCTCTTGCAGATCGTAATGAAGCGACTTCTCTGCATCTTTTTTGGAAACGTCTTTCTCAGCATTTCCGGCTACAAAAGCCTCTTTGTTATCTTTCTGTCTGCTGAAGCTTCTCTTTCCTCGACATCAGGACAAAAACAAGAAGCCATGATGTACCTGGAGAGAGTGAACACGTCTGTTTCTCGACTTTAATTCCTGGAATAACTTTTTTTTTGTTGTTGTCTTTTGTTCTTAATTTCAGCAGTTTTATCTTCATATCTTTATCTCCCTTAACCGGCTCATTTCTCCTCCCTCTTCTCGCCCGTTTAACTCCCTGCTTTCACTTATTTTTTCCACTTTTTGCTCATTTCATGTCCTCCCACGCCGTGTCTTTACGCTCGGTCCCCCAGAATATCTGCCTGTTTGGCGCAGCTACTGCTAGGAGGTGGATTTCTGCCTCATCTGCTTCCTCATCCGACCGAAAAACACCGTCTGATTCCCACCGACGATGAAACAGGCCTGGCAGAGCGGAGATGTTTACGATATCACTGACTCCAAGCCAAGCGGCTGATATTCTGTTATCGTCATTAAATCCGGAGGGACTTTTTTAAACAGGAGAGCCAAACAGACTCTCTCTGGGATGTAAATCTATAATTCTGAGTCTAAAACCCTCTCAGTGTTGGAGCTGCACCGTCATTTCACAGTTAAACCTGAACTTTGTCACCAAAGTCACGTTAGTTAAAAATCTGGTTTCCTTACAGTTTGAACCCAAAAGAGCAGATTTAATAAGATCTAAAAAGAGTTTAAAAAGATGTTAAAATAATGACGACATGATTCACGTTTACCTTACACCAGCTGGACCCTCACAGTCTTAAACCCTCATCGACTTGTATGAACCTAAAAGTTCAAAAGTTCATAAAAGTCAATGTAAAATAGTGTCATTACTGTAAATAGTTGAAGACCGAATCTAAACTTCTTGCTGTTCCTTGACGTCTCAAACAAGCCCAATGAATATCTACGCTAATTTAACAAACAACAGAAACGACAGCGCAGTGTAACCGCGTGTTTTTGTAAAGTTGGTCAATAATCTGAAATTTGGTCGTCTTCGTGTTGGCGAGAAACTAAAAATACAAACCTCCCTAACCCTAACTGACCTCTTAAAGAATGGTGAATACAACCTTTAAGTTCATAAAAGTCATAAAATGTCTTTTCTTGACGTCTCAAACAAGCCCAACGAATATCTATGCTTATTTAACAAACAACAGAAACGACAGCAAAGTGTAACCCTAAAGTTGATCAGTTATCTAAAATTTGGTCGTCTTGGCGTTGGCGAGAAACTACCGTAAATATACGTAACTACCTTTAAAGTGTGGCTATATCAACACCTGGTACGCACTTCAATATTTGTCCTGATTGTCGCAGATAACTGTGATTTATGATGTTGATTAGGGGTGGGAATCACGTGGCCCCACTACATATTATATATACTATATACCTTATATGACATTTTTTTCAACTGTGTAGATAATTGAGCTTTATTTGTCTTTCCTTTGCGTTTGTCTTAATTACACTGTAATTTATTATCATGTCGCACATCTTACAAACCCTACATTTATATATATTTGTTGTACAAACTTTCTGACCTCTGCAAACCTCACTGGACAAACAGTTAATTTTATATTTCCATTATCATAAATTTGACTTCATATTAGCAATATATTTGATACTTGGTAAATGAGATGATATGATATATCACCAGACAAAATATCGCCAGACTTCGCTGTATCGATTTTTTTCTCCCACCCCTGATGTTGATTGTGTTAAACAGTGACAAAGAATATAATAAAAATATATAAGAAGATACTTTTAAATCAGGCAATCCAAAATATCACAAACTAAGACTGCAGCACAATTTTACATCAGTTTTAAGAGTTTTTAAGATGACTAACACAGACGTGAAATATTTAACAATACAGTTATCTCAAGTTTCCAAATCTAAAAGCTTTTAGTCTTGCAAGTCTCTTAAGTCCTTTGTGTTTTTATCTTGCATTGTGATCCATTTTCTTACCTTCTTTCCTCTGTTTGCTGTTTGTGTATGCATGCTTAAAAAAACTGCTTTAAAATGTCATTAAAAGTCACGTTAATTTCAGCATTTACACACCTCACATCAAAGTTTTTCTGACCTTGAATTAAAAAAATCTCCAGTTAGACTTTCAAGAGTCGACGAGGACCAGTCTTAGTTGACTGAAAACCAGTTTGCATTCATAAAACTCCAGATAAAATAAGTTGTATTGATCTAAAAAGGCGTTGACCTCTCCTGATTATCCATCTTTCATCAATAAAACATCATCTCGGCTGTTAAACGGATCTTTTACATTTTTTAAAGTTTAATTTCCACATTCGCTCCCACCAGAGTCTGATTCTGTTAACGTTTCTTAAATCTTAAACTCTTCTGGTTTTCTGAAATGTTTCCAGATCTCTGACTTACGACTTCAAACCAAAGTCGACATAGAAGAAATATTTCCCACATTTAGAGTCTGTTCCCCCCGCTGGTTTGCGATCAAAGCCCACCGACGTTTTCTTTTTATCTGTATACAACCTCGCAGCCTCAATAAAAATGGAAAACGCCGAGGCCGAGAGGACTGCCCCCTTTTGAAAGACCTCCAATAAATCATAAAACAGACCGGCTTTATCATTTCAGGCGCCGGGGGCCTTCTGACTGGAACCCACAAGGACAAAAACAACTGCAAAAAATCGAAACTCTTCAAAATTTGACTTTGTAATCCGACTCTGAAGAGAAAACGGTTCACCTTGATCTCATAAATCTTGAGTTTCCTCTTGATGCTGGTGTTTTCCCGCTCCAGGCAGGCCAGCCGGGTCTTGATGTCCTGATAGGCGGTGATGAGGGCAAAGTGGGAGGCCGAGTAGACGTCGTCGGCGGGCAGGGTGGAGGAATGCCACGCCACGCTGCCGCAGCCATCCTCCTTCAGGCCCCCTGCGTCGCTGCCTCCTCCCAGCAGCCCCAGCTCCCCTCCGCCGAACAGAGACTGCATCGCTCAGAGCCTCAACCTGAAAGCAGACGCACACAGACAGAGGTTCGCTCATTAATTATTAAACTCCCAAAATAGCCTCCGTTCAGTTAAGTGTACCATCCAAAACGAAAACAGCATTTGGTAACCGTAGCAGGGGTCGACTGTCTGAACTTCTGCGGCGAAAGCTGAAAACATGGAGCGAAGCAGCGACTCGTAACAAACAGAGAGAACAAAGCAGAACGGATTCCTGGCACACACACTCAACGTGAAATATTCAAGAGAGAAGTGAGAAGAGAGCGAGACTGAGGGACAGAGGTTTTCCACGTTTAAAGATGACTCAGTGATTTTTTTTTATTACTCATCAATTATTACAACCGTTTATTCTCCTGTTGAGAAAGTCGTGTGTTCATGTGTTCAGGAGAGATGAACGAAGCAGAGAAGGACTTTATCCAACACCTTAAAAGTCTGAGGGACAATCCCAGTCGGACCCCTTGGCCCTCGGTTCTGTATGTTCTCGTCAAGCTAAGGGGTCGCCATAAGGTTAAGGGCGAGGGGTACACAACCCTGGAAACGAAGGCAAACCGAGACCTCACATGAAACCGAGGAATAAGATCATGATGTGATATTCATAGTAATGACACTCGTGTTTTTATCAAATGTCCATTTCTTTGCTACTCCATGTAAATATTAGCAATGTTTTGAATTATTCACGTTTTAATATCGTGTGTCATGAGAAGCTAGTTAACAAAGCTAAAGCTATTGATAGCTACACTGATAGTGGGAATCGAGTGGCGTCTAGTTTCTCAGGGTTGTGTTTTCACCCCTAAACGAGGGGGTAAGAGTGACAATAGGGACTGACCCTTACCCCCAATTTCCACTGCATTTGGAACGGCTACGAAAAGGCCATATCCGCCGATCGTAGCTGATCGTAACCCTTCAAGTAAACGGGTCAATTTCCAACGGGTTCTTTCCGTTCCGTTGCAGATCGCCGGACTCCTCAGTTCATCGCAAGAGTTCTATGTTTTCCGGTTGCCCAAGCATGGCGGATAAATTTTGGCACAGATTATCCCATGCAGGAAAGGAAGTCGGACACAGACACAAAATAAAACATCCAGCTTCTTTTCAAAATAAAACACTTTGTGTTTCAGGAGGATCGTATTTCACACCATGCAAACGGGCGGAGACGAACAGGTGAAAGGTTTTTAGACGTCATTTCACCCCGATGACACCATGGATGAGGAGATGCTGATTCTAGAAGTCTAGAAGTAGATTTCCTCCTCTGGAAGGACACAATCTACTGCTTATATGGTTAGCCTATGTGGCAAGAGACAACTCGTTATCGCGCGAGTTCTTGTGAGTTCTCGTGATTCCTGCTGTCCATTATCCACCACAAAATTCACCTCACAAATGGATCTTGTAGGAATTGGCGTATGGCGAAAATCACTGCCGTTCCGAATGTGGTTAAAATCCTGGGTCTAACTCTCTCTGTTTATTTACAACGCTGCTGCAGAGTAATTTACACTGCACTTGTTGTGTTAGCTACAAGAGTTACGACTATTTTCAACCAAAACTGTGACCTTGTTCTTTTTGTCTGAATATGACCGATCTCCAACTGTTGTTCCAAAAGTTATGTACACAAGTTTTGTTCTCGAATACTTCATCCCCATTAAAGCTGACTTGGCTTTACAGAAAAACGCATATTTATTACAATAACTGTATGAGCCCTGCAAGTACCAAACTGGAGTTTACCAAGTTTAGGTAACAATATCACAACCGATATCCAAGATGTTATTTTACCTTGAGAAGTTTTTCATTGTACGAAGCATGCTGGAAAAACATGGTGTCACCCTGACTTTTAACAGCTGATCTCCCTTATTGCATCATGTACTTAATAAAAATGCTGCTGTTTGATTGGAAGGACTCTTAACCTAAAGTTTAGTGTACGTATAGCACGTTAAAAAACAGACAAGCCTAAAAACACACTGACAAAGACAAATATGGGTTAAAAATTCAGCTCATGCCTAAAGCTGTCGCCTAATTATCATGTGGCTCCTTTCCCTTATGTCGCCTCCCGCTCTGTCCTTCCTCATTTCCTTCTCTGTCACCTCTCTTTTGTAAAAAAACTCTGTCTTCAGAGATCTAAAACTGCAGAATCCCAAACTCCACAGATGCTACACGGCTGCACGGGAACTGCACATTGTTGCGCTCCCTCTGAGCTGACTCGTCCTTACACATCAGTGTGATTTCTATCTCCGACTCCAGATTTTACAGTATTTGGCGGCAGTAGTTGCTAAAAGTTTCAGTGACTCACAGAAAAGTCCGACTCTAACCTTGGGCTCTGTGACTCATATTCATGAATGTGCTGAAAAGTAAAAAATAAAGAGAGAAGGAAGGATAGTAACAAACAACTTCGGTCGAGTTGGCAAGTTGTAGCATCAGACGCGAGGTCAAGTCGACACAAAAACACGGTTACTCCATAACGTGGTTCGCTGTTGGAGTTTAATCTCAGAGGAAACCCTTTGAGATGTTTTCAAGCAGGTCTGAGATGAAACAGATTAGTAAGAGGACAAACTGCAGAGGACAAAGAAAGACGGATATTCCTCCTGCTGAGATCTTTTTAGCCAATAAAACCACAGAAATTTATGGTCGAGAGGACAGAGTTGCCAGGAAATCCAAGAGTGCCGGTCAGAAGGAGAACAACCCTCGTGTGCAGTAATCTGAAAATGGGTGATTTCAACATATTGACTCAGTAAAAATACTCTGAACATTTGACCGAGGGGAAAAATACAGACGCCGTAAAACCCTTAGAAAGTTCTGCAAAACAGCCGATGTTACGAGGATATTGAGGAGGATTATAGGACCCTGGGAGCACAGATAAACTACCCGTGTTGTGAGCACTTGACATCGTGGTCTAGCACTGCTGTACCAAAATATTTTTAAAGCACTATGTCCTCTCTTACAGGTTTTTGTTTAGAGCACTTAGCTTTCAGTGCTCGCTCAGATTCGGAGTCTCTGGAGGGCAGATGCATCAGAGTTTCCTCGTGGCTTTTATGAGAGCAAATCTTTCCCTAACTTCCATCTGAGGATTGTTTTTTTTCTCACTGTTGCATGTGGGGGAGAAAAAAAAGTCATAGTGCAGTGCAGGTAGTGTACAGAAACTTTTCAGGGTTTTAATATCAGCTGGAGCCAAAACGTGACGCTTCAGGAGCTGTAAACATGAACCGAAACAGGAAAACTGCAGCTTAACTATGAGCCAAAACTCTGAACTAGAGGATAAATCTCTCATCTCTACAAACGCTTTTAGAAACAGATAGTAGTTTTAAAGTTATCCCAGCCTCTTTTCTAAGATGTTTGCATAAAAGTTTGAACTGAATATGACCCTCTGTGTGTTGCACTGGGACCCGTGTTTCATAACGCTTTTCTAGAAGCAGCAACAAGGACTGTGCAAGGTGAAGATACATCGATTTTTATTATTATTTTGAGTTGTTAACGCTTGTATGACAGGATACGACACAAAAGATATGACACAATACAACACGATACAATACGACTCGATACGACACAATACGATACAATATGACATGATAACCCATTACATCGACACAATATGACACCATACAGTACGACAATACGATACAATATGACATGATTACCCATTACATCGACACAATATGACACCATACAGTACGACACGATATGACACCATACAACACAATATGATACAATATGATACAATATGACATGATACAACACAATACAACATATTGCGAAACGATACAATATGACACAAGACAACATGACATGACACGATATGATATGATACGATACAACACAAAACGATATGACTTGATACAATAAAACAGAATACGACATAAAACGATACAACATGTTACAATACAACAAGATACAACACAAAACAATACGACACGATACAACATGATCCAATATGACATGATACAATCAGACACGATATGACATGTCACGGTACGACAGGACACGATATGACACGATACGATATGATGCGAAACAACACAAAATGATATAAAACAAAACAATATGATACGATACAATATGACATGATATGACACAACATGAAATGACATGATACGATACAATATGACATGGTACAACACGACATTGACACAATATGACACGATATGTAAAACTTGTTAGCCTGAACTTAAATCTCATCAAACCACTTTAGTTTGAGTTTCCTCATCACAGACACTGACTGTTATAGTTACAAACTTCACAGTTCTGAGGAGCAGCAGTTTCATTCAAACAGGATCTGTATGATACAGAGAAAATCAACCAAACTGGAACTCCTGAAAGCTGCTGCTCTCACCAGGAGTCTCTGAACATCAGTGAGAAATCAGACTGAACTCTGAAACACCGTATTTACACACAGTCATGGTTTAAGACTCCACGCTGCAGCAGTCTCACTTTTATTCAAACAGTAAACCTAAAAGTCAGATCATAAAGTATATTCTCCTGCATATATATATATACGGGTCGTAATTGTTTTGCATTATTAAAATGGACTTAAAAATGCTTTATAAAGAAAATTTAAACATTCAATTAATTCTGCTCCAAGTGAAACAGAGGAGAGAGCTGCAGCTCCGACATGCAGAGAGGAAACAAACATCCCTGTCTGTTAAAGTGAGTTAAGGCTTTTAATATCACAGAGTAGATGTGCTCAGGTTACGTCTTTATCAGCCATTAGACTCTATCTGTCGCTCTGATGTGTTTTAGAGCTTCTGTGAGCGATGTTGACTTTTACATCAGCTGCAGCTCTCGTGGAGTAAATAAACCTGAAAATAAAAATACGATCAAGATGGATAACTTTAACATTCATTAGAATATAATAAAAAAATAAGCAGTTTTTTTTTTGTTGCTGCTCTTTAAAAACACTCTCACCCTCCTCCTCCTCTCCTCTCTCACAATCTGCTTTACAAACTTCTGGACCAGGATGCTCGATGAGTCAGTCGCTAAAGACCATCTCTGCTCCAAAACTTAACTCGTGTTCTCTGATAGTAAACCAGCAGGATAAACAGGTTGTCAACATAAACTCATCCGTGTGTTTCGCTTTAACGCCTCGCTTTTGTCGGGTTAGCCTGCAGGGTGCATGAGTGACCACGGCGTGACGTCAGCTCGTATGTTAATCAGCCTCTAATTTACATGATTCTGGTCCCTCTCTCTCTCTCTCTCTCTCTCTCTCTCTCTCTCTCTCTTTCTCTGAGCGTTGACGGCCTACGCTCTCCGAGTGCTCATGATGAATGAGCCTGGTAGTTAGCTGACCATGCTAGCTCACATCCTTCCTTCCCCGTTCCCTGAAAGCCTCGGGAAAGGCGGCGCTGTCAGAGCGTGATAAATGGCACCTGTGATGTCACCACCCTGTTTTTTATGCAGCCGCAGAGGGGGCATGTGCACAAAAGTCCTACTAGACGAGAGCGGCTTGATTTACGGGTGCTGAGGGAGTTACACAACAGCGCGTTGATTTGATGTGTGCTGGAATGGATGCCTTTCTGACTCCTAGCGTTGCCTTGTGAGTCAGCGATTGCCTACTGAGCTATTTTCATCTGCTCCCTTCCTCCACGCTGCTATTTTTCCTTGTGTTTTAAGAGAGAGGGGGATAAAGCCTCAGCCAATCTACCGCTCTTTTTCCTCGCTGGTCTAACAGGATGATCCAAAAGCACTCCCACACGCACACAAACGCTATTCTGTGCACATGCTGCCAAAATAAAACACACAGAGGAACAGTTGCGCGGAGAGAGGAGATGCACGTGTGGACCAAAACGCCTCTTTGATCAAACAGTCGACACACGCACAGACGGACCGAGCCAGTCACCTGCCAGCTGCCCGCAGAATTTGTGTTTACTCTGGGAAGATATTAGCGTCCTGTGATGTGAGCGGCGCTGACATCCTGCTGTCCAAGATGGTGCCGTTTTCTCCGCAAACACCCTCTGTCTTCTTAAACATCCAATCTGCGCTCGCTCTGTCAAAAACGAGCCGCAGAGATTTAATTCTGTTCACGGAACGATAAAAACAAAAGCAAGAGTTACTGAAAGTCCGTCTGTCCTCCTTGAAACCATGACGACGTTTCCCCCAAACGCATCAAACCACGATAAAGGACTTTAACCCTGATTTACTGTCACATGTCGACCTTCGCTGTAAGTTTCAGCACTTCAGTTTTTCTCGCTCTGCAGGATTGGACCGTTTCGGCCCACTTTGACCCTTTTTCACAGGCCGTTTTCAGCCTCAACAGAAAGCTGCTGTCTGCAAAAAAGTGTGACTGAGTCAGTGGAACCGTCCTGCCAAAAATCCTGCTGCAGAGAGAACTGAAGGATTGGAGGTGGTTTAATTGTCACTCTGGAGCGTGTGAGGACATGAGAGGGAACGAAATCCCACAGTCAGGTCTGATTTAACTGACAGTTATTGAAAAACAGAAAAACAGACGCAGATTCAAACTATCCTCATTTATAGATCTTTGGAATACTGACAAATATCAATCACTGCAATAACCTCTGCAGACATACAGTTAGTGATGGGAAGAACCGTTCTTTTGACTGTACTGAATCTGTAGGATTCGTTCAAAAGATTCGTTCACTGAATCAGTCAGTGCAGTACACGAGTGAGTGACACATTGGCGAGTTCGTTCTTGACCGAGCCCCTCCCCTCCCCTGCTGCTGAAGTCACGGCGTCGTTCACTGGGTGACACATGTCGCTCATTCGCCAAGTCCTGAAGGAAGAATCACTCCCCCACCCTGAAAAACTCACCTCTCTGTGTGTCGCCGTCGACGGAAACAACACAACAGCGAGCAGCACGCCGCTAAACGAGCGCGAGTCGTCATTCTTTTATATCGAGGAAAAGTGGAGAGATTAAAAATAAATAAACATGGCAGCTGCAGCGAGGATTCAGCTACTTTCAAAGATATCAAATAGCGTATCGCTTTAAATCGGCTGAAGTTAAATCCTTACAGGTTTCGTTCACTGACTGATACATGTCGTTCATTCACTGTGAGTGAATCACAAGACTGCGCCTGCCAGCTCACTGGTCGTTCGCCAGAGAGTCAAAGGCGGCAGTTCCACAACCGACCGGCACGCCAGACTCGCGGCTGAGCTCAACTGAACTGAGAAAGAAACGAATCAGGTCTCGGAGTGATTCAGTTCACGTCGTTCACTCTTTTGAACGACCCAACACGACATACAGTCATAGAGCGATCGAAGTACAGAACCTCAGGGTCCAGTTTTCTTCATGCTTGTTCTTCTTGAAAACAGAATTTCATCGTTGCTCGTCATTCAGGAGTGCAACTCGCCACACAACGTCCAAATATGGAATTTTATGCAAGAGAGGGAGGGGTTTCTTTCTCGCCATTTCTCCATTGGCTATCGTGGTGTGAGAGTGTTGGACTACTCCACATTGACATGGATGTTGCTCGTACGCACAGATACTTGCACGCGACTTTTGTCCACCCCCTAAATCTCTCTGCGTGTCCCATCAAAAGTTCAACTTTCATGTTTGTTTCGTTGGTTGTAGTTGTTGTGTGAGTGAAGGATACTACACTCCAGACGCTCAAACTTGCAGAATAATCCAGATATCTTAGACTGGAGTTTGTACAAAGTAAAACTGACTTTTTTTGGCTGATGAAAACTGTTTGTTCAAAAACCAGGATGCAGGTGTGTCGTGTTTAAAGTGGCTGCAGCTTTTAGCATGACTGCTCTTCACCTCCTGATTCTGGACCTGGTTCTGATGAACAGTCAGTCCTCTCCTTCATGTTTGCCGACATGTTGGATGAGATTCAAGACACTCAGCTGTGTCTGTAACACTAAAGGCTCTATTTTTTTACATGTGGGCTCAAACTGACCTGGAAAAGAACATGTCACAGTCACAGTCACAGCTCCCACAGGAGTTACACGACTTTAACTGAGTTTTAAAAGTATCAGAAGTGAAGGTGGATTTTATTTATAAAGTGAGTACAAGACAAAAAAACAGATGAGTTAGAGTGAATTAAATCATCACTTTAAGCATCAAATTAAGAACAGAAATAGAGCGGGCGAGCGTACAGAGGTGAGAACAAATTAAGCATTTCAGCAGGAATGTATAAAAACACAAGACCAAGGAGCGGGAAGACTGACAGCTTAGATACAGACAGTGTTAAAAAAACAAACGTCTTTTAGAAAGTTTGCATCAATTACAGCCTCCGAAAGAGAGTTAAATATGTTAAAGGAAATGATCTAAAAAGATCTGCAGGAGGAGAAAACCACAAACAAGTACCCAGATGAGCTCAATGTTCATGTCCATAATGAAAACAGTGGTGATTAAAGGTACAGTATGTAAAATTTTGTGGGTTTTTTTATATCTACATAAAGAGCGGCCATGATTTTACACCTCCATGTTTCTATGGTGGCACAGAGTAAACAAAGTAGATAGATATGCATTTGTATTTAGTGAGCGTCTGCTTTAAATGTAAAGAGGTTGGTAGATGATATGGATCATACGTCATTCTTTACAGGAGCGTCTTGTCCTGAAAAACCGCCATAGATTAAGAATTTTACCAAGATTAGGGGCGAGAAAGGGAGCGCTATGATCTGACGGGCAAATTTCATTAAATATTCCAGTCCTGACAGTAACGTGAACATAAATCATCATTTCAAAATTCCCTTTAACTCATTTAGGTAATACAAAACTTTGACACAGGGTTAACAGCTGACCAATCTCAGGCAAATAAAGAGGAGAGGAAGAAAACAGTAGGCGAAGATAAAAAAAACTGCGTCCACACCACCAAGTTTCATTTACACTAACTCGTGTATATATGCTGTCAAGAGCATGCCCAACCTGTAGGTGGCAGTGTAGTGAGAAGCTCAAGCCCATGTTAGCCAATCAGAATCCCGTATAGCAGCAACAACAACAACAACAACGTCACTTCCTTCTTTTGGAAAAGATGGCGTCATCTCAGCTTTTCTTCGTTACATGCAAACGTGCAAACTGACTTTTCCAAATTGAGTTTTTAAAAAGCATCGTTTTCAGCGGCAAATTCTCCATATGTGTCTAAACGAAGGGTGTAAACGATGGTTAATGTCTCCGTTTTTAAAAATAACCGGGTACGTGTAAACGGAGCCTTAAGGTGTAAAATGAAAAAGACATCCACCAAATTGAAGAAGACCGACACAAATCAAACTCAGACGTAACAAAGTAAAGACTAACTTTTGTTTGAGGAAGCATGTTTACAGTAAATAGCTAACCAATATTTTTATTTACACCAAGTCACCTGTGCTTGTTTTAGTGTAAATCTGTCTAATTTAAGAACATGTTAAAAACTGTTAATTCTCAAGTATCTTAACTAAATTAACTGAAGTTCTCATTTGACTTTCATTTGTCATATTTGACCAGGAGTGTCTCCACAAAGTCGTGTCCTCTGTCCAGTATTTCCAGGGTTGTGCTGACCCGTCACACCATCAGATCCACCAGACACCAGATCACATCAGCTCAAACTCCCCGTCTCTCTGCTCCCTGTTTTAGTAAAAACACTGAGCTTTCACCTGGTCGTATGCAGTGACCAGATTTTCATTAAAGTCCTCCTACCGCCTACGATTCAGCTCGAGGGGCCAATTAACTAAAGACATAAAATCTAATTAAAAGTCCGAGTGGATGTTATGATTCAATGGTGAGTGAAGTAGCTGTTCACACGCTGTACTCTTACCTGTACTGAGTAATAGACCTGATTTACTTATTCATGAATAAATCCTTGTTTCTGCTTTCTAACAGCTCCGATTCTCCGAGTCCAAATCTGGGTGAAATAACGGACGGTGACACAGGAAACATCCATTTTACCCGAGCTCTCTCTCTCTCTCAGAGATGAGGCATTTATCACACACACTCACTCAGCTCACACTAAGCTTCTCCTCCCTCTCATCCCTTTCCTGCTCTCTGCTCCTCGACCCAAAATATCCATCAACCCTCCCTCCCTCCTTCTCTTCCTCCTCCTCCTCTTGCTCCCAATCACACACCATCCTCTCTATCTCCCGGATCTCAGGGCTCATTTGCGGCGGCTCTCGGGTCCACGCCGCACCGTACGACACCAGCTCCCTGCTTCATTACAGCCATTACAACAAGAAGTCATACATAACCCGAGGCCCACATGGCATTCGTTGTTCCACCGAGACTTCCTCCCCTCCTCTGTCTCCCTTTCCTTCATTTCCCTCCCGGGGATTAAGTCCCCCCCTCCCTCCTCGCCATGTCGTCGTTACACAGCGGGGAAAAAGCCAATCACTGCAGCCGTCTCCTGCTGACCTGGAAAGTGTAGATCCATGAGCGGAGCGGGCGACGCCGGGAGGTAATCGTGTTCATTACCTACAGAGGGTGGCCTTTGTGTGCAAATCTCATGTATTAACAGGCTCCCTGACAACAACAATCTGATGAGGTCTGCCTCCATGACATTTCCTTCCTCATGACTCAGATCGGAGCTGAATGATGCACAGCTGAGACTCACTCTGGGTTAAAGCTCCAGTCAGGAGTTTTCAGCATGTTGGTAAACAGACTGGAATTAAAGCTGACGAATCTTCACGACCTAATAACGAAAACGGACCATCAAGTGACGAGTCAGACTATTTTTCTACATAGTTGGTTACTGCAGCATGTTGTATGGGATAGGTGTACGACAAAGACCAAAAAGACCCCTGAAAGTGAAGCTGAAACATTTAGAGCGCCCCCTGGTGGCTGAGTGCAGAATGACAGTATTCATGGGTAAGATTTTTTCAGAGTCATGATTGAAAGCTTTGTAGGCCAATGAGGCATTGGTTGTATTTGTCATCATGTGAACCAATCAGAGGTCGTTAAAAGTCATTTTTATATATTAAAACTAAGTTGACCAGATCAGAGCAGGGTGGGGGTCATAGGCGGCGTGATCACAGACAACATCTTGGTCCTACTTTGTAGCAGCGCATTTACTGCTTATATGGTTATGTGGCTGTCTTTAAAGAGACAACTTATCGCACGATTGCACGTGAATCCACAGGTTTTTGTGAGTTCTCGCTGATCCCCACTCTCCAAAATCCACCACGAAATTTCCCTCACCAAACCCATCCTGTAGGGATTGGCGCTGTTCTGTAGCAGAGCCTTTGTGCTTCTTACCTAATAACCGTTGTTCTAGTATACACGCAACATTTTTGTTCTCATTCATGAAACACTTAAATCAGGGACATTTCAACGGACTGTTTTAGCCAGAGACAGCTCATCCAAGATAGGGACTGTCCCTGGAAATCGTGGACGTCTGGTCACCCAAATTAAAACCTCATGAGTCCGACAGTCTGTCCGCCCTCTAACTGCAACAGAAAGGATCCCCCTGATCCAGATCCAAATGCTAGTCCAGATCCTCAAAGGCAGTACGATCAGGCTCAAGTTGTCTGTGATCCATCTTACCCTGTAAAAGCAGGTTTAAGCCCCGCCCACCTAGAAATGCCACTCTGGGCTCTTTGCTGCTTTATCAGTCAGTTAAACGTGATCAACTCACTGATGGTGGTCCGGATTCTGACAGACCTGCTGGGTTTAAGGTTAGCCAGGATACAGAGAGGTTCAGTGAGAACAGTAAAAGGTCCACAGAGACGATTGTAAGGCTGGGCGATAAACCGAAAATTTACAGATACTGAAATGTACGACCATTACCAACATCCTTTTGCCCACATCGGTATATTCAGTGTCAAAAAAATAAATAAATCAAAGTTGGTTCTGGGTGTGTGTAGGTAGGCTATGGTCTCATGTCCCTTTAAGACGCTGTCCTACATCAGAGACGTGACTCCGCCCCATCCAGTCCGTAACAAGGAGGGAAAGACAGGTGAGGAGATGGAGGATGGTTAACAAAGTTAATGTGGGAGGGGGTGAGCAGATAGTGGAGTAGTTATCGTCCATTTATCGTTATTGAGGTGAACTGATCAATATATCATGATATTGATTTGAGGCCATATTGCCCAGCCCTATAAGATAGGGAGATACAGGTCCATAATAACGTACATGAATACCATGAAAACTTGTAAATCAGACCCAGTACTGTCGTGGTCAGCTGAGTGTTTGGTGGTAGTTTTGGCGCCGTGGGCAGGTGCTTCATCCTGCTGTAAAAGGAAACTCGACTAAAGTGTGAAATGATAAATGTACCTTTACAGAGAGAGCTCCAAAACCAACGACACAGCCGCAGTCATTGTGAGCGTGTTAGCGTGTTGACATACAGCCTCATGAACTGATGAATTCTCTTTGTCTCTTGAACTAAACTCCGGCATTGTTGGCTCGAATAATACATTTATCCAACTGATGACATTAATGAGAATAGTCGTGGGTATAAATTATGCCGTGGAGATAACCATTCAGCTGCAAAACACGTCCTGAAATCCATCATTGATGCAGCCGGGGAGATAAATGAGAAGCTCGCCTTGTTTCGTATTATTATTTTCCAGCACAGTGCCACATTTCCTGCTCATACACCATTAATGAAAGCTGAACGAGCATTTTAGCTCCATCCATAATGATTCTGCCTTTTTAAACGGGGCCATTATGAAACAGTCAAATAAAGCAGAACTCTGGTTGAATACTAAAAAGAGGTTTTTGTTTTTAGCTGATTAATGAGGTCTTAAAGAGAGTCGAGTAAGGGTTTAATCTGTCGGAGTATTTAACGTCTGATTCATGGCTGTGGTGACTCGTATTTATCTGCGTCTCTTCTGTCTTTGAAAAGGTTGAGTCTTTATGTCTCTTCTCCTTTTTCTCTATTGCTTGTCTTTCTTGAGGAAACAGTTGATATTTCCATTATTAATACATGTTCCTCATTAAAGCTGAAAGTGTCTGTTCAAAAACTACAAACTCAAACACGCTAACAACATATTTAACATGTAAAACCAAAGCTGGTTCATAGAAAATCTGCTCTCCAGGCTTTACAGATGCAGAAATGTATAGTGAAGGGGTGATTATGTAAATTCTGTTTGTGTTGATTTTTAATTTTTGTAATCGCCCATTCACTATGAGTCATTAAAATTTCATATTTAGAGATTTGGTTTTATGAAAATTACATGCACAAAGAAAAAAAAGCACAGGGATATCCTGAAACAATAATCCTAAGCCATTTAAACAAATCTCAGAAATTTGAGCATTTTAGCAAGAAAACTTTTTACAAGAAGTTCAAGAGAGAGACCAAAATTTGTTCTGCAGCATTTGCATGATAAAGGAAAACAAACAAGAACATCAGGAACAGTACTGATGATGTTTAACGCCTGAAACTAGAGTGAGGAGGCGACCACAGGGAGACACAGCCGTCACTCGGTATGTTTACAAGCACAGTTTAATCGGACTAAGCTCATGATTCAGTTTTTTCACAGAATCAGACTTCTCTCCTCGTCCTCGTTTACATGCAGCTGAGAAAATTGAATTATTGACGTGAACGTGTCCTCCTCCCCAAAACTAGGGGGTGATATGGGTCTTTTCAGCGGCGCCGTTTCCGACCCCGTACAACCGTCAACAACAACAGCAGGTCCGTGTCAGACATCAGAAGTGTCTACAACTGCTGCTGATGGAGCATCGTACATCGTTGTTTTTGTCGTACATGATGTATGCGCTATTTTTTCTGAGGATGAGAGGCACGCTACTCCTCTTCTCTGGTGAATTTGTTACATGGAAGAGAAAATCGAATTCCAATCACATTATCTGGGTGTCTTAATCGGAGTTCTCCGACTCCGATTATAGTCAGACTAAGGTGTTTACTTGTTTACATCCGGTCTTAATCGGAGTAAGGCAATGATTCGTTTTTCTGGAGTATCATGTAAACGTACTGACTGAGTCCGTGAGCACATGGCCGAATGTTTGGATTTTGAGTGTAGCTAACAGTAGCAGAGCTAGCACCACCAGCCTCTAGTCCATCCTGCATGTCGACGTCCAAACACCTCGGCTTGTTGTGCGTTATCCAGCTGCAGACATGCGACTTCATCTCCATTTTCTAGCCAAGCCAGAAAGTGCCATAAGATTCTACCTGTCATCCAGGTCGTCGAGGTCACACACGACTTATAACGAGTATTTCAGGCCTAATATGATGATTAATACTTCTTCAACAGACTAATGATTGTGTTTAACTTTAATCCGAACAGTTTGTATCTGTTCCTACGCTCATGCCTTTTTAAACCATAAAGGTTTTTCTTACCTGAACTTGACCGGCTGCAGCTGATTGGCTGATTCAGACATGTGTAAATGACCACCGCCCTCTCCTCTCGATTCGTCCCTTCCTTCCTCGCTCTTAATTTCCTCTCTCCTCCCTGTCATCATTAAACCGTTCAGCTCTCCCACCCTGTGACCCCCACAGGCTGGACGTTTGGCGCCCGTGACTCTGACTGTGTGCGTGTGAACGGAGGGACGGGAGCGTCTTCTCTGCCCCGCGTTCATCCGCCAAATGCTCCCATCACGCCGCGCTTCACTGCGCTGCACCTGTTTCCTCAGCGACTGTCTCCTTTAACATTGAGCAAGGCCAGAGCTTTAGGCTGCCGCACACACTGAGAACCAATTAACATGCTGGCAGGTGGGCTTTGAATGTGTGTGTGTGTGTGTGTGTGAGAGTGTGTGTTTATGTGTATGAGCGCACGTCGATGCAGCTGAGTGTGGACGTCTGGCAGTGACAGTGAGTGTTTCATGTACGTCAGCACAAGGACAAAGTGGCAGCAGTGCATGTGTGTGTGTGTGTGTGTGTGTGTGTGTGTGTGTGTGTGTGTGTGTGTGTGTGTGTGTGTGTGTGTGTGTGTGTGTGTGTGTGTGTGTGTGTTTGCCAAAGACAGACAGGTTGGTATTGACGTGCTCCTCCAATGTACTGGAACTTTATTGACGCTGCTGCGCTCTGACCTTATTAAACGGAGCAGTTATCAGACAGACATGTTTCTGCCGTCAGAGTCTTTATAAAACTGAAGCTGCAGGACAAAAATCATCAAGATGTGCAGCAGCTCATCTCAATCATCTCAAACACACACAGAGAGAGGGGAGAAAGGGCACCGAGCACAGAGAGGGAACGACACAATCTAGTGTTTATGTGTCTGTACCAGTCAGTCAGTCAGGCTGCTGTTTAAATCAGTGTCAGTGGAAACGTGTTCTTACGCTGTAATATCTGAAAGAAAGCATCAGCCGAAAATAGAGTCGAATCCTTACTAGACCTCCGGGATGGTCTCCAGCTCAATCATCCACAGGACCGACACCGTCCCAGAGAAAATCACTCTCTCTCTCTCTCTCTCTCTCTCTCTCTCTCTCTCTCTCTCTGTGTCTGTCTGCAGGGTTTAAAAATGTTGGTACCGCTGCTGTCAGGAGTCGCCCTTTAATCACAAAGAGGCTGTGGTCAGAAATTACCGGGTTCATTTTCTTTCCGTGATGTTTGATTTCTCTTTTGGCACGCCGTAGTTAAACTCTCGCTGCAGCCGTGTTTGGAAACAATGGCACCTTTGTGCTTTTGAATGACACATTTCACTCTGCGAGACGACCAGACGCCTCGCCTGGATGAAGTAATATGCACTTCGTGTCAGTGAAGTACTCCGAGTCTGAACGACCACCTACGGCTAAGTAGTCGACATTTTACTCCTGTGCTTTTTTAATTTCTCTTTCGACACGCCGTTGTTAAAGAGTTAAGGTATTATGCTAATTTTTGTCTTTTTATCGTCTCTCTTAGCCGTTTGATTTACAGCTCAACAAACTCTTAATGTACTTCCTCCTTCTGCTGCCTTAAAAAACTCTCATTTAAGCCTCTGTCCCTTTAAGGCCCCCCCCCAGCATTCTGGAACCCAGCATTCTAGAAGCCTCCTTCACTGTTGCCATGCAAAAAAAGTTGAGTTTCACTTGTATTTTGTGACATTTCTAACTGGAGTGAGAATTCTTGAGCTGTAGGGATAAACTGTGGCTGTTTTCACATTGGCTTACTGCATACTCCTGTTGACCGCAGTATGCAGTAGATACGACATACTGAGTACTGTGTTAGATAGTAGAATGCAGTATGATTGCAAGTCGGCCGTTATTATGTAGTTTAGCTGGTTTCCGGTATGGAGTCCAGTGGGTGGTAAACATCATGCATACCGTACGAGGAGAAGCAGGAAAATTTGAGGCGATGGAATCGAGTATAAAAAATGTACGGTATGTTAACAAAACATGGCGTTCTTGTCACTTAATGCTGAAAGAGGGAGGAGAAGACAGGCTGTCAGAAGGAGAAATCAAATAAATACTCTGGTGAAAGTTTCGCCACTCTCCACTATTCCGCCGTCTACCCAGGCGCTTTGCATTGTGGGTAACAGTAGGCGAAGCAGACTGGTCTGGTGCATACTGTGAAATTTTCCCAAATCAGTTCGTCATCCAGGTATTTTTGGCATACCGCAAATTTCGCGTTTGTTCGCCTACTGTACACTGTATACTAAATTTTGGGCAAATCTGCTGTATAGTCGACGAATTCAAATTCAATTTTCGAATTCGAAAACAGCGAGAGTTTAGAGTGATCACAAACAGGCTGACCTTTGACCTCTAACCACCCAAGTCTTTAAAAGTTCATATTTGAGTATAAATAATGTTTCTACCAAATTTAAAACCATCACCTGAAGAACTTCCTGAGATTTCATGTTGACGAGGACAGAGTGAAACACTGAATTAGACATTGAATAATCTGCTGGGTACCTCCATCCATGCATGCACAGCTTTATTACAGACACACGGAGTATCAACATGAATCCATTTGGGTTCATGCATCCAGTAATAAACATAATATGAGACTGTCTGGGTCCAAAAATAGACACAAACAACAGCTGGACGCCAAACACACGGCTTATTTTTATACAGTAGGATGGTAACTATATACTGTACGCCTTATGCTGCATATAAAATCTTCTTACTGTTGTTTATTTAGGAGGTGAGTCAGCTCTTCTAAAACCATTAAAAATAAGTAAATATATAGAAAAGTCAGTTTAAAGAAATGTCATGATTGAGGCTGTTCCTCTAATAAAATGACAGAGTTTGTCTAGATCTGATAAACGAGCTAAAACTAAGTACGCCCAGGTCTGCCGTCCATCACCGCCGATGATGGACAGTCCAGCCTCTCCGGGATGGCGTTGTCGGTAAACACCTCTGATAGCTGTCAGACCCGGGTCAAACGGTGAAGACGGCGTTTTTGTTTCAGCTGACTCGGAGCTCCTGAAGGCGCCTTCGAGGACGACACGATGAGCGTTATCGTTCGGTTCAGAGAAAGAGAAAAGCTTTCCAAAAATAACACGAGATCATTTTGTGTTTTATTAGGGAGTGAAGTTTACTCAAGGTTGCAAAGACTGAGAAGAAATTATTTCTGTACTTTTTTAAAACCGTTTTATTCCCACTCTCTGTGTCTAATCAGTCAATAAATTAAAGAAGACACTCAGGATTTTCCAGCTGCTTCGTGTCTCTGTTGGATGACGGGGGCAGGAGATGACAGTAATTTTTAAAAACATGATGGCGGACCGAAAAGAGACTGACACAGCGATGACGGTTTTCGCATTAATATCAATAATTTGTGTAAGCAGACAGCTGTGCAGACATCTGTGCTGTCCCCATCTTGAAGATGGTTCCCCTTCTCTAACCTCACATGCTTTTAATCATCCTGTTACCAGACGCTCCTCCAAAAATACTAAATTTTTCCAAATATTTCCTCCTGCGTTCTCTCTCACCGGGTTTTTGCTGAAAAAGCAAAAACGGGATCGAGTTGGAGGGACATTTTTTGCTGTTTGCTCTCACACATTGATGCAAATACAGTTTTTTAGTTTGAGGAAATTTGTGCAGATCCTGGCAAATGTTCATGTGCATTCTTGGGTACACACATAGCTTCAGCAACTACTAGAGGTCAGGTCAGAACTCGCACTAAGAACCTTTAAGTTAACCTAATTATAACCAGCACTGGTGGCGCCTTGGGGTCAAGTATGACTGTCCTTCTTCTTGGTCCTTTAGAGTACATTTCATTTGCTTTGTAGACCAGTGTAGGGCTGCACGATTAACCAATTTTTAAATCCTAATCGGATTATTTGATTACGACAAAAATTAAAATCATCAAATCGATCTTCCTCTCCATCATGTTTCACACCTCCAGGCCACCGTAGAATCTCTCATCATCAAACGTGACTTTAGAGTAAACAAACATCGGGGTCTAACTCTTGCTAGCCGCTCAGCTTTCCGGGTTCATGATTTCTGACATCTATCAACGTTCATGCTTTGTGTTGACATGGCTGCACTTGTTCTGCTTGCTTCCTGATTGGCTGTCATCATTCCCTCTGACAACAGAGTATAAAGTACAGCTGCACGACTAGTTGATTTTTAATTGTAATCAGATTATTTAATTATGATGCAGCGTCTATGATTTCCAGTTCTTTGTTGAAAGGACAACTGGACTTACTTGAGACGTCCAGTTGTCCTTTCCATGTAGGGCTGCACAATTAATCAATTTTAAATCACAATCAGATTATGACCATGTTAAAAATGAAAACCGTCAAATAGATGTTCCTTTCTATCATGTCTCGCATCTCCGTGCCACCGTGGGCTCCTCCCGCTTCCTGAGGTAGCGCTCCCCAGTCCCCACACACACACCAGTGTAAACAAACATGGCGTTTGCAAAAAAAGGCGATAATTTCGTGGCTAAATAAGACAAGAGCGAGTCAGTCGTGTGGAATTGGTACGACTTCACAGTTTTAGGTGAAGAGTAAACTACTCCCCGCTGTAAAGTCTGTCTGTAGGCGGTATCAACCCGTCCACAGGGAAACGAATTCAGGAGGAAACGCAAAAGTTTGTTGTCGTATCGTCGTTTTAATCCACACGGAAACAGAGTGCATCAATCTGTAAACCACTCCCATTTCATCTCCGTGTGGATGTCTATCTGCATCTTTGGAAACGATCATGTGACACACAGCGTAACTCTTTTGTTGACGCCACGTGGAATTACATTCACAACCAACATCTTCTATAAAAGTGAGCCCACGCGTTGATTCCCACTTCAGAGTCGCTGTGATAATTAAAGCTCCATTCAGATTTCAGTCTTTTTTTTTCTCCTGCTTACATGAATGAATTTCTTATACTACAAAAATAATTCTCCACATCTCACCTGATAGTTTCTAAAGCTCCTAAAAATCCAAACAGAGCGATAGAGAAAAAAACGATCTGGGTGTCCTTAATGGAAACCAATCTCATGATTCGTATCCTTAAATGAATCATCCTCGCACATGACTCACGCTTCTTTCTGAACCCTGTTTTTTTTTTTGCACGACTCGACTGCTGCTGTAAACTGGCACCTTTTTAAAAATCCAAGTGCCCACTCTGTTTCCTTTTACCACGCAAATATTTTGTATGTCATTACGAGCGAAGATACGACGGAGCTTCTGCAGAATAAACCCATCTGAGTAAAAAGAAACCGC